GAGAATGTGTAACTTTTGAAATTTTTTCCTTATGCATAAATTATTTTTAATCAGCCATACCTTATTAAGAGTGGATTTTACAATATTACCGTCTCATCTATATGAGACCTTTAACGTGGTTCGTAAAATTTAAACTATAAATGTGACACACTGTACGTAAAATGTCTCTTGTAAGGTCTTGGACATTCTTTAAACAGAGGGTTAATGTATACATGTAATTCACAGCGAATTCCCAGCGACTTAATAGTACAATGTTACCATCGGAACACTTACAGAAGAAGGATTATGTTACAGCCCTTTTCGAGGAATGATATTTGTATAATGAGATAGTTAAAATATTTAGAGGCAAATACACGCATTTCACAAAAGGAAACTTTCAGTGTTATCAAAGAAAGCAGTAAAACTCACACAGCAGAGCATTTGGCATAGCAATAGGCTCAGAAACAACACCCAAGTCAAACCATGGCAACGGTCTCATTCGGATATATCGGGACACATATAACAAAATAATAATCAAGAACTTAAAGTCAATGAAGGCTTACAAGTCAAAAGATTGCAAGCTTTGAGTCACACCTCGAAAGCAATGGCTGTTTCGATGAGAAGAACAAAAGAACTAAGTAACAGCAATTCCGATGGACAGTATACTTGTCAAGTCTCTTGATGCAACTACATAGACTTCGGTATATTGGATTTTCTTAAATGTGGCATTGGAAGCCGATGTTTGCGTTCAGTGAAAGGTAATTAGAAATTTATCAATATGGTTGGTGCAAGATTGCAGTAGTTTGTCGCAATTAACTTATTACATAGTTTTAGATAGTACGATTAACCCTCAGCATATTCTGTTGTTTAATACGCACAACCATATAGCATTTAATCTAGAAATATGTACACTAGAATACATTATTTGGGTTGATGATAAGAAGGATGAATTTCTTTGAACGCTTATTATATGGCTGAATAAATTTAAGCTTACGTTAGAATAATTTACTCTGTATAAGTCCTTCGGTGGGACAGCGGTAAGTCATCGGATTTACAACGCTAAAATCAGGGGTTCGATTCCCATCAGTGGACACATCAAATAGCCCGATGTGGCTTTGCTATAAGAAAACACACACATACACAAAATTGATTGCCCCACAGCGGTGTGTCTGTGGACTTCCAACGCTAAAAACCGGGTTTCGATACCGTGGTGGGCAGAGCACAGATAACTCATTGTGTAGCTTTGTGCTTAACTTAAAAAAAAAAACTATCTACAATAAAAATAGTTTTTAGGGGTCACACAAAGTCTATGCAGTTTCACGATCAAAAGTGTCTTTACATACATTAACGTGACTAACATATTATACAATACAGAATTTTATTGAATTTTTCTTTCTTAAAGTAGCTGCTTATTTTTAGTTATTTTTATATAGTATTGTAACTCTTTTGTTTAGAAAAGTTGATTGCAGTTTGGTTATTTTTATAACATCTTGACTACTATAATGTGATGATAAAAATTGCCAAATAGGAGACATTTTGATAGAATGCGTATATTATATTGAAAACTTAAGTTATTATCCTGTTAGAGAAATGTACTCATTATCAAAATTTTATATAACAAGCTTTAGTGACATATTTAAGAAATATTGTACTTAGTATCTGCGATTTCAGTACGACATAGACTATATCTTTTCTGAACGTTCTGTGTCTGCTAGGAAACAGTTATTTTTCATATGACTTAAAAAATGTGCTTTATGAATGTTTAATATCCTTGAGCTTATATATTAACCATTATCTTTTTTAAGCATAGAAAGTTGAAGATAACTAATTAAGATACAGAAAGTTTTTGTCTTTTTTTTGTGAACATACGATGATTAAGAACAGCATTTTTTATTCATTTATTGTCAGAAAAAAATATCTGTAATAGATTCTTAGTTTCTCATTGAATAATTCAAAATAATTAATTGTTTTCACTGTTTTTTAACGAGATTTCAAACTTTTAAGATTTTGTTAAGGATAATTGTGGAATCTTTTGGAACGAGAAAACTGAATAATTTATGTTTCCACTGGAAATTAATTAGAACTGGCAGAGACTTTACAATAAAACAAGTTGCTGTATAATAATTACTTAAGGGGCTATCACGTAAAAATTTTAACTAAAGTAGATTAGAGTATACTTTTTATTCCCCTCCAGACATAATTTTTTTAATGCATTCTAATGGTACATTAAAGAGAAAAGTTCTTATTTCACGCAATAACAGGACCATTAGGTAGTAGCCAGATTAAAAACAGTACAAATTTCGGCAAAATAACAATAATTTTATTTAAGTTTTTAGAAGTTACTATTTAAATTAGGTGTTTTAATTTGAAAAATGTTTATACTTTATCTGTTAATTTCACTAGTTTTAACTTAATTTCATGAATGTTTTGGAAATATTTTGCTTCAGTTCTAACGGCTTACATAATCTGTCTTGAAAATAATAATTATTTTTTTTTCTATTGACCTCTTTGATTTTCGAGTGACCCACATATATGTATATATCACTCGAAAATACGAATACATACAGCGTGGGGCACAATTGACTATATAGTTGTTTCATATAGAATACAACTTGATTCCCAATTATTACTCTGAAACAAACAATAATTAAGATGGTTTTAATTATCTTTCTAATATTTCGCCCCCCCCCCCCAGTGGCACAGCGGTATGTCTGCGGACTTACAACGCTAGAATTCGGGTTTCGATACCCTTGGTGGGCAGAGCACACATAACCCATTGTATAGCTTTGTGCTTAACTACAAACAACCAAACAAACAATTTCTAATATTTCCTTTAGCACCAACAGCACTAATTGTAAAGTGATGCTTGACCCACCTTTTGTATATTTATAAAATCAATCTTTATTTTTCTCTTAATGGAATTATCATCCAATAAAACTGTACAATATATAAAATTGATCTCATATGTTTGAGAAAGGCGTCTGTATGCACACAATACGAGAACACTGATAACATATGTTCAAACGTGAATTAGACTTAACAGAAATGCGCCTTCTAAGTTAACATTTTAGTATAGAATTTTTCTTGAAATAAGACTCAAAGGTATATTTTCCTTGACATACTATGTTTTATTATATTTTTAATACATCCGAGAGGACGAAATACTCTTTTTTTTTGTGATCTGATATTCTCCACCAATTTTAAATAGAAGTGCTGTACGTACACAGAAACGTTTGTACAATCAACAGAGAAATGCTTAAGCTGTTTGGACAGTAACAAAAATGTAAAACTGAGTAAGATTTATTTTACTGTTTTAGTTTAATATGACAGTGGAGTAAAGTTTAATGTTCCAAATGTATATGATGCAGTTCACAATAAGTTTTAGGTTCTACTTGTTCTGGAGGTATTAAGTCATTTAGCTAATTTTTTATTTGTTCTTTTGTTATGATGAAGATTAGTTGAAAACTGGTAAAAAATAAAATTATGTTGAGCTTATTAAATAACGAAATTTGTATGTTAATGGCATGTTTAAGTACTTTTATGATATTTACATGTAGACAATTGTTTGTTTGAAGTTAAGCACAAAGCTACACAATGGGCTATGTGTGTTCTGCCCACCACGGGTATCGAAACCAGGTTTCTAGCGTTGTAAGTCCGCAGACATACCGCTGTGCCACTTGGGGGTACGTGTAGACAAAAGTTGAGATTAATGTTAGGTTAGAATAACTGACAAATAATACTCCTTGTGAATCAGTTTATGTAAAATTACTCTAATGGTGTTTTAGTATATTTTTCCCCACTATTTTTATTACTATGCTGTAGAAAATTACTACTTCTGATCCAGAAAAGTTCAATTATTTAATCTTACTTGCAATTTTGTTTCTTTCTCGTTTTATATGCATGCGTCTGTGTTTAAATAACTATAGTTCAAAAGCACTAATGAAACACAAATGATCATATTCTACAATTAAGTCATAAATATTATACAGAAATATGTGCTCAACTGATATAAAAGTACTTGAAAAGGTATGCCGGGCTTAGAAAGATAGGCAGTAAATGAGTGGGTGGACTGATCCTTCTGCTGTTTGAGCCGTAGCACACGTATCTTTTGTCCGTTGCAAAGTTATTCGTGCTATGCATGCGCAGCATTAAACATCACTTTCGTTTGGTATCGGCTTCAGTACTTTTTTACCTACGTCTTAGCTCAGTTGAGTCCTACTTTTTTACCTACGTCTTAGCTCAGTTGAGTCCTACTTTTTTACTTACGTCTTAGCTCAGTTGAGTCCTACTTTTTACCTACGTCTTAGCTCAGTTGAGTCCTACTTTTTTACCTATGTCTTAGCTCAGTTGAGTCCTACTTTTTTACCTACGTCTTAGCTCAGTTGAGTCCTACTTTTTTACATACGTCTTAGCTCAGTTGAGTCCTCACTTGCAGAATTAAGGCAGTAAAATTAAATTTGCTGCTTAACTCGAATGATTCTTTTATTTGCTGATCCACTTGAACTTCATGTTTGTGAGATTCACCCGAGTTCCCCTATTAAGTTTAATCTAACTTAGATTAGCCAGTTCTTCACAAGAATTTTTGACACCAGACAGACAGATGGCCAACTCTGTTTATGTTGACTGAATCTCAAGTTAAGATCTTTTTCATAATCATGCCATTATAAATTAGATAATAACTTCTTAAGAGTTTTGTGAAAGTTTCGAAAAAAAGGTTCTCGCAGGTTTATATCATGTAATATGTAGATCACATGCTTTTTAAAGTAGTAAGTAAGAATATAATGTGGCGCTGGTATTTCCACAATTTAATCGTTTATGATTTTGTTCCCCTTAAAAACAAAACAAATAAAAACGAACAACAACAACAAAAGAAAAGAACGAGCACGTGGTATCAATTAAGTCAAGATCAAGGTCTATCAAGAATTAAAATAACTAATGTTGTAGGATATTTGTATAGCACAACAACAAAGATAAGTTTGATTTAACACTTTATATAAGCACCATCACGCGCATTCAGCACATATACAAACATTTTTAAATGCAACCAATGGCACATCATTTGACTTTGTACTAGAACTGAACGTTAATAAATTGGATTGTCATGAGCATAGAAATTACGTTATAAAATAAATCATAATAATTTTTCAAAATTATATAATACAGATTTTGTTTTTTAAAGAAGAAAGTCAACAAGTCGTTCCTCTGTAGTCGTGGGATATATTGTCAGCTCACATATCTACAGATAAGTTATTTAAATCGACGCACCTGAAGCCTATTCAACTGAAACTCGGTACAAATTACAGGACCAATAAGCTCTTGCTATCTAGTACAGTAGGAAGTAATCTCATGAGCCAGAACTTAAAAGTAAAACAGAAAATATCGGCTGATGATTAGTGTTCACCGTAATTAATTTAAAAAAGGAATTACAATCAACAAAGACTAAAATTTGAATTTTTATAATAACACCACTCAAGTTATTACAACGTTTAGAATGCGTATTTTAAAGGTATGTTTACATCAATGTGCGATTCTAAATTAATAATTTAATGGTAAAGGGGGATAAAAACAATTTAACACGTGATTTCTCCCTCAACCAGAGTCAGCTTGGTGGCAGGAAACAGACGTAAAAATCGGGGATTTATCAGATTTTGGTGAGACTTATACAGAATATAGCGCGTATGGTGAGATATGACGATCAACTTTCAAAGTTTCCAAGTCGGAAGAAAATTGACCTAGTTATGACTGCCACATCATTAGTAGAAACCTCTTGGTTAATGACTATACTTCTTATTGTATAACCGACGGGTCCGCTACGTGAACTTTTATTTCTTCGCCCGTCATCGCATCTATTTCTTAGACCAGAGCACAATAGATCTTCAGCAACTAGCTCTAATCCCCGTTTACCGTGATTGTAACTTTGCTACTTTTCGGCATGTCATCAACACTCATTACATATGCAAGGTTCTGAGATCTCAGACTTGCAGTCTGGGCAGCCGCTGTGGATGAAATCACGATGGACATTTTGACAGCCCTTGTTAAAGTAGATCTATCTATCAAACTCCAAAAGTGCTCTGGTGGCACTCAAAAATAGGTTTGATGCTGAAAGGGACAGCAATGATAGGAGTAATAACCTTCCACCTGATCAAGGGATCCAGAACAAGGCCTTCAACCTCAAACAAACAATGAAGAAAGGTCGTATAATTGAAATTGAGAATAATAATAACAAAGAGATAACCAATTCGTATTTGGGACCATTGCTGGTAAGATGGTGCGGAGACTCCGAAATCATGTGTCTCTTTTAACTGCTCATAACTATCGACTGAACTACGGATTGCATATTTGGATACAGAAGGTTTTTAGCTTTCCAACGGCGTATGCAAGACTGCTGAGAAACAATTATCGGAATTCCTTGTTCCTTGGCCTATCACCATTTGGTTGAGGGAGCGATCCTATGTCAGAGAGATTAAATAAAATGCTGAAAATATTAAACAGAGCCTTAAAACTTTACATTCGAAGATTAGCTGTATTAAAATCTTGGATAAGCTTCATATGATTTGACAAGTTTTAAAGATATTTAAGCTTCTATCTGCAAAGCTGAAATTAGTAAAATACCTAGTACATTCAGAAAGATTCATGGAAGATTAAAATACTTAGTATTATTTTGGAAAACTTTCTTTGGTAGCATTTACAATTCCATTTATAATAAGCGACACAACTATATTTTCATAATCTGGGTCAAGATTAAGAAAACACTAACTCAATGAAATAAATAATAATGTACAAGCTTCAATGAACATTTGATTTTACACTGATCTATATACGAATGACGACGAAACACCCGGTTGTATTGGTAAACACTTGTTCTATTCAGTAGGAACCTCATAGTTCATACCCTCTTACGTCGACAGCCTGATTTAATTATTCCTTAGTTGTATAGTCTGTCCCTCAGTGTTATTTTGCAGAGACTTAAAACATAGTCTCTTTGAAGACCAACCATGCTTTGCACAATGTAAATTTTAGAAATGTCAAGAAGCACTTTTCTTGATGACTGGTGATATGTATTCTTTCTGCAGTGTTGTCATTAAGTATAATATATGGTGGATAACAATCACATTGCACTCAACCGATAAAAACGTGCTAAATCCTTCTTCAGCATATTTTTAGACTTTAAATTATTTATCATTATTTTGTTACCCCCCTCCTCATACGTCCAGAATTGAAGAATAATAACTTTTGAACCATATAGTTCATAAAAAATTTGGCACTCATCGATAATTACATTAATAAAATACTTATTCTTTTTCAAAAGGATTCCTTTTTATAAAAACACTTTTGTATTCCTTGTATATACAAGCACTTTCCCACTGTGTACTCGAATCCAACACCTTTTATCAGGTATTACAAGACATTTACCATGATCATCAGTGACATGAGCCTGATCATCATAGAAAATGTCACATATTGTAAATGACAATATATATTATAATACGCAACGTGGTAAAAGAGGTTCCAGAATGGTCGACAGGCGAAGCGTTTTGAAGAAAGTGGTCCAAAATTATTATGAAATATCTTCTTTCCTTCAAACATGCGTGGCTACTGTCGCTGACTTTATTTGTGTGGGACCTGGATCTGCTGTGATGTAGAGTTTCTGAGGAAGGGTATTACTAAAGAAGTGACCTCTGTTGCTCAAGTAAACTCCCTGAGGAGGAGGAAGTGTTGAATGCGAAGTCCGGAGATATGGATTTGCATAGCCTGCGTGGAAACGAGGATCTATTTCTCCCATATACTGAGAGGAGCGAGGTAGCCTAGCCAACTGTTGTACAGGAGGTGGGGTATAATCTCTGGTGTAGTCCACATATGGGATGTACCCATTACTTCCTTGAGTTTCCTGTGAAAATGAAGAAACATCTCTATTAGGCTATCAGTTATTATCCAATGTTTTTAGAGTACTACACCAATATTCTAACATAATGTCAAAGAAGTAAAAAATAAAACTAGCATTTACAGCATTGATTTGGATCTTTATGGTGGGAAAAACATGAAAACAAAAAGAAGTTGCATTTGAATTGCATGATTTGAATGGAATCTATCAACTACAGGAAAGTAATACTTGATTAATCCTACTTTCCATGTTGTTGAAAATTAAGTAGTTTTTCAAATGAAACTTATCCTACACTAAAATAAGTTTATGAAATAAATGATTGGATTAAGTACTCAAGTCTCTTAAACAAAAGGACGATTCTACAAATCATTGGATTACATTACATGTTTTAATTGGATTGTTTTTAGTCTATATAATTTTACTAGAAATTTAAAAATAACGCTATATATAAATGAAATAATTCGAACTACAGTTAAGAGTGTGTTGTTAAGGAAGAAAACTTATAATGAGACATGAAATTAATTTTATCTTCCATAAGAAAAATACAAGCAAAAAATACAAAAAATACCTGATGACTAACAGTAAGATTAGGGTAGAAGTTAAAAAAATAAAAAGGCACAGATGCATTTCAAATTAATCATTGTTTTATAAATTGCTTTGCTTAGTATTTTTATGTATTCATTATTAGTAGGTTTAGCAAATCTGTTGTCAACATCTGGTTCATCATAATGACTAGCAGTTTCTACAACATTTATCCTTTAAAGCATTTTTAGAAAATTACTCCCTCACTTTTTGATGCTTGTACCATCAACAAGAAGCTATTTGCTTAGGGGAACAAAACATAGTTAAGTGCTATACATTAACACACTGACATAACAGCTTGAGAGAAAATAATGCTACACATTAGACAACATTAGATATCATTAGCACATGAATTAAACAAATTGTAACAAATTTCATGGAATTCAATTATCTTTTTATCTATGGGCCAGGCGTGGTCTTGTGGTAGGCGTGCAGGATTATGAATCTGAGGCAGCACGGTTCACATCCCGTTGCCGCAAAATCGCCCTCCGCATCTTGGGGTCGTGGGTGCATGCTTTATAAGTGGACGGCTGAATCTCACTACTCAACAATTTATAATTAGGGATGGTCAGTTGAAATAGTTCTTGTATAGACTTGCGCCAATATACGACACAAACATACTAGTTATCTGTGTGTGTATATTTTCAAGAACTAGACAGAAAATAATGATAGTCACACAGTTACGACAGACAAATAAAACGATAACAAAAGAAAGTGGGCAGAGACGTTAAAATGTGTTCTGATGAGAAAAGTATTTTGGGAAATGATTACAGTGGCAGGGCTACATTTTGAAACTACCTCATGGGAAATTTGAACCTAAAATACTGTTTACTGCCTGCAGTTAGTTGTGACAGTTACTCTTAATATATCACTGAAATGGTGATTAAAAGCATAATAATGGAAAGTAAAACTTATTAACGAAGTTAGCAATCCGACTCCAAAAATGGTCAAAAACTTAAAGTAACAGAAGTGATAATATACCATAGAAGTAACACACCAAATCCTAATAATATGACAAAAATTCGAGGTTTGGTACCTGCGGTGAGTACAGCGCAGTTAGCTTGTTATGAACAACGTGCTTGAAATAAACATAACGATTAATTAAGCTTTACTTGGCACATGCCAGAATTTTAGAGTTCGTCAATATCTTAAATTTAAGACAGGAATGTTTCATGACAATTATCTTATAAACACGTAAAAAAAGAACTAATAATAGACTTTAACAGTATCACATGAGAATTTATTAACATTCTTGTTTCGAAGTTTACGAAATATTTTGTTTAACAAATAAGTTAAACAAATTAACGATTACAAAGTTAAAAAAACAACATTGAAATAAAGTCGAGTAAGCTCAAGGTAGGTATTAAAAATAAAAATAATTAGGTCATCAGTATATATATACATATATATATATATGTATGTGTGTGATGTAACGTGAATAAATTAGTTAGTAGTATCTTTTATAAACATTAATGGAAATATAGGATATATATATATAAAACTTTGCTTTTATTAGTGTTTATGGCAACATTACACACACATACCCGCAATCACATTCCTATTTTCATTTATACGCAATATAATTTACTAAAGTAGCGTTTGACATAAATGACTTGTTTTAAAAACAATTCTTATGTCACGATATAACAGACTGCTTAGTTTAGATATTATTGATTAATTTATTTTTGTGAGTGAATATTTTATTATTGTTTAGTTTTTGTTATAATAGGCGTTAAAAGCAAACAGATAATAGCAGAAAAAAGTAAAGATTCAGTGAAGTTAAGTACCATAGAAGTGATAGGCCTAACGATTGACATAAGCCTAACGTTTAATACGTTAGAGTAAGACTAACAATAGAAAATGAGATAAAAAATAATCTATTCCATCAAAGCGTGGTTCTAAAGGAACAGAGGATCTTCAGAAGAAAGTCCAAACGATTACGGTAACTTGCGCCACAATTTTAAGAATACTATTGCGATAGTAATAGAGAAGATAGTTCGGCTTGTCAACTGAAATTCTAAAGTAATTGAATAGGCCTAAGTGGACTTTTGAAAAGGAGAGAACTACATATATAGTGTTTATGATATGTCTATAATATCTACAGTGTGAAGAATTTGTTGTACATACATTTAACTTGTTCGGAATACATATATTATTTTGAAAACAAGTGAAGTGCGTGCTGTTCATTTATCACTAACAAGTCACAGACACCTACCTAAGCCCAACAACAACACAGCATATATTAATACTATTAGAAGTGTAAGTAAAAGCGTTTTTATTTTGACACTTGTCGAAAAAGAAAGAATTATGTTATTTTAAATTCTGACATCTTAACAATAGTAAAATCTTAAATCCCTTCAAAGTAAGCAAAATACTCTTTAGAAGCATCACGGGGTGCTGAGTAAGGTATATCAAATATGTAAACCAGTAAGCGCTTGATAATCACAGCTATAAAGTCACGGTGGAACGGGTGTGTTAGAACTACATTTTGATACTGTTTGGCGTATTGTTTTAGGAAGCGTGATACTCCCACTGAGCCTTTTGCAATAGAAACTATGCATAGTCGTCAGCTAGAATTATAATCAAATGTGGCGATACAGGGCTCTAATTCTCTATCTTAGCGATTGTTGTATATTTTAGATCATTTATTCGACAAAAAGGTTAGTAGGACTCTCAAAAGAAACAAAATGTGTCAGTTAATATATACATATAAACCCTTTACTCTTAGTAAGTTAAAATTTATAGTTGTACTACTAAAATTAAATGTTCTGTCTTACCAAGGTTGGAGGAAAAACTGGATCTGTATATTCGACCGGTGATTTATATAGGTCATTTGCGTCTCGTGCTCGGCTGACGTCACTTCTGTTATCCCAGCCAGGATCGTTATCGTTAGATACTGACGACGTAGTGCGGACTTCAGCTTTTAACTCCGAATCACCAGTTGAAGTTGTATCTGAATGCTTGGCCTTGTTTCGAGATTCAAATTTTCCAACTGTTGAATTCAGGAAAAATAAGCATATTATACAGCTTATTTTAAACTCCAACTTGAATAACATGCAAACGTAAAAGGAATGAACTGTTTTCAAATATCGGATAAAATTGAGCTGTGATTCAGAGAAAGCAAAAGGATTTTCTTAATTTTTATTTTAGAAAACTTAGAAAAGAAAGAAAGAAAATATTAAAATATAGAAACCTAAAACGGTAACAAGAAATGGAGTTTTACTTAATTGTTATATTACGATGATATTGGTCGAGCTTCGTTATCTATCCATTTTATATTGAAGGTGGATCCATAAAGATGAATATCTTTCGAAAACTAAAATAGTGTGTTGGTAACCAAATATATCACAAATATGTATATTTTCCATCAATGAATGACTAGACGTTTAGGAAAAACAAAAACTAATTGTAAAGCGATTATGAATTTCTTTTCAAAATGTAGTGCTAAAAGTAACACTTAAAAATAACAACGATTTTGCCAAAAAAAAAAGCTAAAGCACTAACAAGTAATATGATTGTTCATTTATTAAGGAAAAATGCTTAAGTGTCTTACCTCACCTACTCATAGGGAAACTATTATAAACTACGTGCAACAACATAAGACAAAATGTACCTATTTTTAGAATACATTTCCAACATCCTGGACCGTTATTAAGTAACTGAAAGAACTTTTAGGTATTTTAACTTGTCTCGCATGGAATTCTTAAGTTATATCTAACGAAAAGAGTTTGAAAGATTAACCTTTTCCTTTTGAAAAAACCTTATTTACAAATATTTTATTAGCATAACATCTGTATCAAATTACACCAACTTGTTTATTAGAATGATGTAACGTGTATTGAGTATTGATTACTTTACATATTATCATTCTATATTATTAAAAATATATTCTATTAAAATTATAAAAAAACAACAAATATTACCAAAGTGGTCTTTCTAAAACTTTGTTCGTAAGCAGTACTTTTTTTCAGAACTTAGAATAGTGAGAGCTACTTACAATATTGAGGGTCTTGTCACTAGTAAGATGAAATCAGACTTGGTAAATTGGAAAAAATAAGTTTTAATTTATTTGGGGAATATAATTTACGCCTAACGTAACTTGTAAGATTTCTAATAATTTTCGTTTTGAAACATACATTTTCATTTACATAAGTGATGAATTGTTGATAAAAAAAGGTTAGTTATTAATCGTCACATTTAAATATTTTGAATTTGTTGTATTGTGTGAAGTAAGCCAGGAATATCAAAGACATTTCAAGGCCAGTTGGCCCAATTTAACTCATTAATTTTTCCTCTTTCTTTATTAAATGATGCTGTTTAGCATGACCTGAATAATTTCCCAAAAATAATTCATATCAACACAAGTTCGATATTTTTGAATTATAGTTAAAACACATCTAAACATCTACAGTGATCCAATTTATTAAACTCCTCGGCATACAATGCCATCTTGGGAGTTGAATTTAGGCCTGATATTTTATCTTGGTTTGCTACGGGTTGTGAAGTGATTGTACATTATATAAATAAGCCTAATGTGAAGAACCAAAGTAAAAACATTTGACTGAACATCAGACAGAAGCTACAACTGAGAGATAGTCAGGTATTTTTGAACATTAGAAAGTTGCATACAGAAAAATACTGGAAAAAGCGAAATGAGTTGAACAGCTTATTTTGAACTGATTAAAAAAGAAAGAAACGGAAGTAACATCATTTCTAAAACAGCAATAGTTTGAGAACCAAACATTCTGTCAGACTTAAACACGTCGTAAGTTGATACGCATTTCTGAAACATATCAAAACTATTACAGAGGATGAAAAAGACAAGATTAATTTTGAAGACATGCTTTTTCTTGTCAATGAAAACATAATATTAATAGAGTCATGCGAATGTAAGAACTCACTTTTTGCTGGTGATCTTTTCCTCAAACATAAAATTACAACAGCTGTAACTGACACCACAAAAACGATCCCTCCTGTCGCCCCAGCAATTATGATTAAAGTCGGTATACTCTCTGAAAATATTATTTGGTAAGAAGATGCTTTGGATAGCTCATGGAATATGTCGAAATTTTACCAAAATTAGCCTCACTAATAATCTTTACCTTAAATCAAGTACGAACGTATGATTCATATTCAACAAAAAACTTAAAAAAATTATTTTGGTGACATGACATTTTTAATATATTCAAATGCTTAGTCAATGAATCATATAGTTCATGATTTATTTAGTTTAAATATTGTTTTTTAAAAATGCGCTTGACATTTGAAAACGACAACAAGTTTTATATTCAATACTGATGAGCTATAGAATAAGTGAGGCTCAAAAATAACAAATAAAATTTCTATCATTTAGCTATTTAAATTATAGAGAATTTGATAAGTAAGAAACAAATAAGTTGTCAAATTTGGAAAATACTTGTAGCATTACATATCACTTAACATTTCAGGAATGGTAACTTGCAATATAAAGTAGTAAAAAGATATTAAGTATAATTTGAAAACAAAAGTCATCACATATCGTTACAAGCAAACAAACTTTATTTTTCACGTATCTAGTTTGTTTTACTACGACTTAAGTAACAGCAAAAGCAATTTTCACATTTTAAGTAAAACATTAATTGTCGTCACGTTACACACACTTACTTAATTTATATTTCTTATTAAGACTACTAACTTTTGGCTAGCCAAGGAACTGAAACCTCATAGTTTTAATTTAAAAATAATAAGTTAAAAACGATATGCAATAATCCGACAATTAATCTTTTATTTGATAGTTAATCGCAGTATGGGTTTAAAGCCCCCCCCCCATGGTTTAGGGGTAAATCTGGAGGTTTATAACGCTAAAAACCGGGTTTCAATACCCACTGTGGGTACAGCACAGATAGCCCATTGTGTAGCCCTGCGCATATCAACAAACAAACAAACGAGCTTAAAGAAAAAGAGTATTAAACAAACTCACCTTGTTTTCTCAGGTGAACCAAAACACTGTCATGGCCAAATCCATTCCATACAGAGCAGTTATATAGACCAAAATCATCACTTCGAGCCTTATGAATAATAAGAAGATTTCTTATTCCGTCTTCAAGAGGTTGTGTAACTATTTCATAACCACGAGAGTTGTCTATGTCCAAAATCTGACAAAAATAATTTCACGATTTAGTAGCCCATAAAACCGTTACTAATTGACATGAATCGATAAATGTGTGTCTAAGTTTATTAGCACGATATAATGTAAAGTAAATGTGGTTAAACCTTTTTGACATTGAAAATTCAAAGAAGAAATTACCTTATAAGCCAAAAAACATTTTAGTTCATATATTCAGAATCAACTTATCAGATACTGTGAAACAATTAGTAATAAAAATCAAAGTTCTACTTGGTATTATTTGTGACTTAAAAACAGGGATAATATATAGGGTTAATCACACCTTATATGGAAGAACTGTGTTAATAGAATTGCAGTGAATACCATCTGTGGCATCACAAATGGCATATTTAGCACCTATATAAAGTTTAGAGATCTATATATTCGACAGGATAGTACTGTTATAGATAGATGTATGGCTGAAGAAACATTTCACATTCCTCTCCGTGAAAAGGTATTTGCATGACGAAATTGTCAAACAATGCAGAACACAAGCTTTCTTAATAAAAGAAGACTCTAGCGTTCTTGTTGGAAGTATGAAATTTCATACAGGACAGCGTTTAGTATAGCCAAGAACTCTGAAACCACACGCTAAGCCAATCTGTATGAAGCTTTTATATGCAAGGTGAGTGCTATGGCTATGAAAGATAATTTTTTTTTATCCAAAATACATTGTGATGAAGCTGGGCATATTTCTGGTACCATTAATACATAATAAACAAGGATTTAACACTGAAGCCCACAAACCAAAACATTCACAAGCTTCCAGTCACACCTTGAAATCAAAGGGCATTTTCATGATAAAGACGTTCAAAGAGACTCAAATCACAGCAATCTCGTCCAACCACACAGACTTCTCAAGTTCTCAGGTGTAGCCTTATGAAAGCGATGTTTTCCTTGGAAACACTTTCTACATTGTCGTTCGTGTTGAATCTGATGACTATGGTTATTAACTATTATTGCCTAATAAGGATTAACATGAACATCATTTTAATTCTCAATAGTTCATAGAAACGCTGCTCTGAACTTTGAGCCTTAATCTAATACAGCCATATCTTCTTGTAGTCCAACCAAAAATACTTTCTTATCTAATCTGATTCATGTTGGAAAATCTTTATCAAGTTATGGTTAGTAGGAAATAGTCTGTTGTTTTGTCCGTTCGTTCAAGTATATCCAGGTCTGGTCCGTGGTAGCGGCAAACTTCTATTTCTTATATATGAGATATTTTTTTTGTACAGACTTTACTCTTCCCATTCTCTCACAAACGTGTCGTGGAATATAATTCTTTATAATGGAATATCTTTCTGAATTATCTTGTACACATTTAAAGAGCATACGTACAGCTCGCCATCATTCACTTGCACTCACTAACGTGTCAGGGAATATAATTCTTTACAATGGAAGATCTTTCTGAATTATTTTGTACACATGTAAACAGCATACGTACAGCTCGCTATCATTCACTTTCTAAGGGAGGAAATTTTCCTGAAAAACAGTTTGCAAACTTTGACAATGGTAACGGCAGTCTTTAGGTGGGATTCCGTTCAGTCTGGTGTCTATAAAGTTGTTCAGAATTTATGCTACCGATGCTATTCACAACGTTATAGGTAGTCGTCTTTAAAATTACGAGCTTCAGGCTTTATATCTCCGTGCTTTCTCGCAATGCGAACATCCTTCCCCGGAAAAGGCTATGACATATTACTTCAGCTGTAAGTTTTCCCTAGTGGCAATGCACTGTTGGATGTTCGTTAATATATTCTCAAGTAAATCATAAGCGATAAAAGTGTTGATTGTGTTGCTGAGGCTCACATAAGTTGTGGCAGTCACTGACCTAGCATTTGCAATACGTTCAAAGAAAGTGCAATTAGCACGCAGTAGCTGATCGAAAACTTTCTTCATCCTCCAGATTTCAGATTGAAAGTATGTTATCTTTGAACTCGAAATACTGTAACTTTGAAATAATAGAAAGTGCAATTAGCACGCAGTAGTTGATTGAAAACTTTCTTCATCCTCCAGATTTCAGATTGAAAGTATGTTGTCTTTGAACTCGAAATACTGTAACTTTGAAATAATAGAAAGTGCAATTAGCAAGCAGTAGCTGATTGAAAACTTTCTTCATCCTCCAGATTTCAGATTGAAAGTATGTATTATATTGTCTTTGAAATCGAAATACTGTAACTTTGAAATAATTCTTACAGCGTCTTTGTTTATTTTTGATAATAATAGATATTCACGACTTATATTTTCCAGTGACACTAGTTCTGTTTTACGTGATGAAAGCTTGACAACATGATATTATAAAAGTGAGTAACTTATACTCATCTCGATTGATCTTAGAAAAATGTTACATATGGTTCACGAGTTTGGTCGAACAAGAAAAGAGAATAGCACTCCCATTTTAATGTTCTTGCTCATAGCCCGTTCTGATATTCGTAGCTTTAATCTATATATTGACATTCTCAATTGCACAATTTTCAAGTTTGCTTAAAGTCCCGAATTTTTATTTAACATGCTCTCATCTGTTATAGTTTAAGTAGCTAATTACTAAAGACTTTATTGCCCTCTTTTAGCATGCTATGGGACATAATGGTATATTTTAATCTGTTGTACAAGTTCCTTTCAAATTCAATGAATTGGTATTTTAAGTGAGGCGCTTAGGCAACACGATTTTCTTTATTTCATGTTTCGATCACGTTAAAGTAACAAACGACAACCTTAAGGTAAAGAAATATAACACGCAAAGCGACTGTGTCAGCTAATCATAGCATACAAGTACGAGTGAAATTCTTTTGTTTTACTGGCTAACTTTTTCTTGTAGAATATTTAACGATACAGTGTATGTTGAGGTCGAAAGATTTAGACAGATTGATTAAACTAAGTTGGAGTAACTATCTTCCGTTGATTTAGGTATATTTGTTTCTAGAACCATCTGGTAGCATTTTAAACAATTTTATCTCTTCACATAGTATTCATGTACATAGAATTTTAGTGCTATTCGAGTTGCCAGATTGTGTATAAGAAGTTATATATTTAATTAATGCTTACACTTTCCATTGATGAATTACTTAAGTCTGACACAAAAGCGCTGTGAAGAAACGAACTATAATAACAAAGAAAACAAACAACAACAAAAGAGAGATTAGACCAAAAAGGCAAACGATTATTTGGTAATTTATAAGCATTTTGTCTGTCGTAGAACCTAGTTCATCGTAACTAATTTCATGTCATTTCAGCAATTTCGCATACGATTTTGGAGTTAGATTTACTAAATAAAATATGGAAAACATACGATCTGTATATTTCTTGATGCTGGCACCATCTGCTGGATAACCAACCAACAAACAATACATCGAAAACACTGTCTTTCTCTGATGTATGTATCTTTTAGCAAAAAAAAAATATATACCAGTTTTGTTACGAACATCACAACTTATTTTTAAGCAATCCAAGTTTATTATTTTAAAAGGAATAATATTTGATACACTGCCATTATGTAAAACATGTTTACTTTAAATTTTATAGAAATTCGATTAATTTGTCTAGATATATAATACGCATATCAATTAAACTAGGCTTTCCTGTTCTTATCTCAGTCTGGTAGAAACTGTCTGTTTTATGCTATATACTAAAGATTTAGATAAATTAGGTTAACAATTGACGAAAATGTAATTAAGTTTACATCTTACATTCCTCTTGTTTGAAAAATACTATTTAAATATAAAACTTTACTGCACTTATTATGGGCGTAGAACCTATACTACGACTATAATAGACCATTATTATCTTTAAGTCTCTTATATCAACGATTGTCTGATAGAAAATGTAGTGCACGCCACAAAATCTGTTTATTTAAGGTACAAAATTATATTTAAAGCAGTTCACTGATGTAAAAATCTCAGTGACTCAAACAACTGAATAGCATCAGTAAAATATGAAATGAATTAGTTTTGAGTTGGACATTTTTTCTATATTTTCTGAAATTTATTGAGTTATATTAGGTTTTTTTCTTTGAATAGGTTTTTGTGATCTCTTATGGGCTCCATTTGAAAGCATTACGAAAGCATATGCTGGAAGTATCCAACACAAGCACACTTAATAGCGAGCGTGTTTCAATTACATTAAATCAGCAATCACTGTAACTTTTTGATAATTACATTCGTTGTAGAGATTCACAATCAAACCTTGGTTATTCTGCAATGAAATTATGATAATGAAAAATAATCACTGCTAGGTTCGTTTGCAAAATACTCTCGATAATTCACACACTAATTGTTTAAAGTTTTCGTAACGTAACCACATGCTACTTTCTAAGTGTATTATAAATTCTTAATTGTTAGTGGAATATACAAAGAATATAAGGAACACTGACCTGATGGAATTTGATTATAGGATCTAATGTTTTAACATTTAACCATAATAATTAATAAAATCACTAAGACAAATATTTTTAAGACAACCTTAAGTGCGATTAGAAACAGAACTACAGATTAAGTAAAGAAATATTCTTAAAATTGAAATATCTTATTCTACAAAAGTAATTAAGAAGTACATGACATCGTAAGATACATTTAAACATATCTATGTTACTTATTATTGTGTCAAATGCATGAGCCAATCAAGCATTCATTAAGAATATGAAGAAACGTGTTCTTATAATAAAAGTTGTTCCCAGTTTTCATTTTTAACAGATAATTTCTAAACCATATTACTACTGGACATATATTATTTGGACATATTCCTACCATTTAATAGGATTATAGTTACTTATGACTGAGATCTAGCTTAGTTTCAGAGATGAACTATGCTTTAGTCTCTGAAGTCATGTTCAAATACAAGCAAACAAATGAACATGACCAAAAATACCCAGAAAACTTGCGTATATAATGTACCGTTCATATTTAATATACCAATATCTAAACATTTGTTGGTGAAAAATCATATATAGAAATTAGGAAGTCATCTTTTAAAACAGCACACCATAATAAGCAACAAAGGATCTTGAACTGTATTCAGAAATGATAACCCATATCAAACCACACCACCATAATAGTCAATAACTATGCCATGTTTTTAATTACACTAGGCAACAAAAAAATTGCTACTGGAGAAACCTTAAGTGATGGCGCTGATTTAAAAAATGTAGTCAGAATTTGTTCATCAACTCTAGATTTTGAGTTATTGTAATATCTCAGAATTTTATCAGCACTATAGGAAATACCATTCAATCAACTCAGTACAATAGATTTATGCTGTGGAAACAAGTTTACCTGGGAAATTTAATGGGTGAAAAGCATACACTTTTGATAACTTCAAACACTGATTGCGTTGTATTGGTGTAAAATTCCAAATATAGTGTTAATATATGCTATTTGTTCTCGATATAATTGTAGCGAATTTCATCAATTTTGCTTCATTTCAACGCTCACTTGCTCCACCTTGGAGTCACGAAACCCTAACTTACTCAGATTGCTAGAGCTTTCAAGAAGTTCCTCGACTGAGCATAAAAGGGGCGGAGTCAGATACCTCTCTATCACTCAATTGGTCACTTTGTCTCGCTCCGCACACAGTCAAAACAAAGTCTGATGTTCTTCCTCGCATCATACCCGCGATATAATAAAATTATGCAAAACTTTGTTTTTCGAAATCTTTTAAACTCTAGTTGCATAAACATAAATTCTTTATTATTTTTTTAGAAAATCATTTGGAATGTTGACTGCCTCCAGTTCAAGTAAAGTCTGAAAATGCAAAATTCACCGAAACAGTTTCTGCTACATTTAAAAAAAAATATTACTGTTTTGTGAAGGAAAAACATCACACACAAGGTAAAGATAGCTCACTACCACTATTTTGAATGTAAAATTGGGAACCAAAACAACAAACAAAAAACACTGGGCTCCACATGTGTGTTGTACAAGTTACACATCTGACTTGACACAGTGACTGAATAAGAATAGGGCAAGTATGCCATTTGCAGTTCCCATGATATGGCGTGAGCCCATTGATCATCCAACTGACTGTTATTTTTGCGTGACTAATGTTTCTGGATATCCAGGCAAAATAATACATTAAATATCCAGCTAATGCATCTGCAACAAAACCAGTACCTCATGAGGATGATCTTCTAGTGTCACATCCACTGTGAAGAAGACAATGAATCATCTTTATCTATTCCTGTGGCATCTCAGTATAAACTACCTCATCTGATCCCACAAAAAGAGCTAAATGATCTGATTCGTGGCTTGTCTCTATCAAAGCAGCATGGGAAACTTATTTGCTCTCGTTTACAGCAATGGAAATTATTATTTCCAGAAACAATAGTTTCAGTTTATTAAAGTCGCCATCAGACTTTTGCTTCTCACTACAGCATGCAAGATACATTGTGTTTTTGTAGAAAAGTTGATGCACTAATGGAAGAATTAGGCACCAGTGTTAGTCTGAAAGCTGTACTTCTGCATAACGGAAACACTAAGCCATTAATTCCTGTTTGCTCATGCTGTGAACATGAAAGAAACTTATCAAAGCATGCAGATTGTACTTGAGGCCATCAAATATAATCATCATAGGTGGAACATATGGAATGATCTAAAAGTTATTGCACTCATGGAAGGCTTGCAGAATGAGTATACCAAACATTAATGCTTTTTTGTGTCTCTAGGGCAGCAGAAATGATATATACTATTTCAAAAAAAAGGAATGGCCAGGGAGAGAGAGTTTCATACCAAGAAAACAGTTTGTTTGTTTGTAATTAAGCACAAAGCTACACAATGGGCTATCTGTACTCTGTCCGCCACGGGTATCGAAACTCGGATTCTAGCGTTGTAAGTCCGCAGACATACCGCTGTGTCACTGGGATCCCAAGGAAACAGGATATTGAATATCAACTTTTAGTGAATCCTCAAAATGTGTTTATGCTCCCACTTCATATTAAACTGGGGTTCATGAAGAATTTTGTAAAAGGAATGAACAAACATGGTAATGGTTTCAGATATCTGTCTGAAAAGTTTCCAAAAATCAGTGAAGCAAAAATTAAAGGAGGTATATTTGTTAGGCCACAGATTCGGGAAGTGCTGATGGATGATTATTTTGAAACAATATTCAATAAGAAGAACTTGCTGCCTGGAAGTAATTCAAACTAATTGTCAAAAATTTCTTAATAAGTCACAGACATAAAAACTATGCTGTAAATGAATGATGATATGCTCGAAAACTACAGGAAAATGTCAGTAAAGGTGCACTTCTTACACTCCAACTTAGAGTTCTTTCCAAATGGTCTAGGTGCAGTGAGCGATGAGCGTGGTGGGCGCTTTCACCAAGACATATCTATAATGGAACAGTGGTATCAAGGACGATGGACTCCTGCGGTGATGGGAGATTACTGTTGGTTCTTTCAGTTTGAAATTGAGAACATGCACAAAAGGCGCAACAAGTGGAGCGTGAATGTATTTCCAGTATATAATCTTGTTATATTCATTGCTTTTTTAAAACTGGCATTGCTCTATTATGTATTGATTTTGAACATTCTTAAATGCAATTTTCAATAAATAAATAAAGTTATTAAAGAAAAAGTTGTTATTTTCAAGATATATAAGAATATTTTGAATAAATCTATCATAACTCGAAAAATAGAAGTACTTAGTGATTTTCAATATGAGTTTTAGAATCAGCATGGTCAAACTACTCAGAAACAGTGATCAGTAACATGTTTTAGAAGCTTATTATTGTGATGCTGCATTGTATTTTTATTATTTGCACAAACAAATGGCTCATCTCAGATAAGGTAGTAAGGATACAAGGCAATGCACTTATCATTCTTCTTTCAAAAAGTTGCTTAATTATATACTTATATGATTTTAATAGTTTATAAATATATTCACAAACACACAAACACATAGATTCCAAAGATATGAGACCAGCAGGGTTTGATCAGTAAAAAAATTAAAAACAAAATTGAGAATTGACACCGTGAAAGTGTGTGTATTATTGCACAGTTTTACACTTTAAGGTATTTTAATATTTACAGTTGAACTATTTCTCTATTTCTTCATTCTTTACGCCTAACGTGTTTTATTAAATTAACCCACCACTAACACTCAAAGTTTCAACAATAAACGAACTACACTGTTTTGTTAGCTCAACTTCGGTCTATTAGTTAAGAAGCTTTATTTTATTTGCAGTTAAGATCCACGTCATTTTAAAGTATTGAGAAGAATGCTCTGAATGAATGTCCTATAAGCATAGGACAATCTAAAATCCTCGCTAAAGCCAAGAATGAACAAAACTGAGAATAAATATTCACCAGTAGACTTAAACCGAAGTTGAACGAGCAAAACGGTGCGGTTTGTTTAAAGTTGTATTAAGGTATTCTAAGATTCGTAGATTGAATTGTTTCGCTATTTCTTAATTTCTTTATCCTAACAAGTTAGAAATGGTAGAATCTCAAAGAAGAATTACAAAACTCCAAGATGTAGAAGTCTTAATAGAATACGGAATAGGTAACCGTGAATACAGTTGAAACAATAAAGGATAAATGTAAGGATTTATGTTTCTGCAATGACATAACACATTTTTATCGATCATATGTTTTTTACATTCTCGACTAAGATAAGCCAACTAATTTAAAATAGATAAATTTTGGCACTTCATGTGCAGAATTTGACGACATTTTTCTTCTATGGTCTATAATATTCTATTCTCTTAGTTTAAGACACATTACTTTCAAGGCATTGACGCCACAATATTCTTTAAGTATTTGATAGTCTATATGTAAACAAAACAGATTAGTTATTTTGCTTTGATTCTTATTCTTAACAGTGTTCTTTAGTTTCTCACTTAATATTCTCAGTATCATTTTGAAACAGTATATGGAAACTTTAGTTACGTTTTCTGGCTTTAGCGATGGTTCATTTTGTAAATAGTAAAGAATAAGAGAAAGAGGTATTTAGAAGAGGTTCCTCATCACCTATCCAGTTGTGGTGTAATAAACTGTAAATCTGTCGTATGAAAAATTATCACATGTAATTATCTCACAGCACTGAGAGGAATTCAGAACCCTAAATATTTGAGCTAGTCTGTCCTTTGTTGTGAATTAGTGCATTGTGATTTGAAATATTTCTTGTATATAAACTTTGTGACTCGTCCTTTGTATAGCACCGTATCATGTGTTTAAGAGAACCTTTGTTAAGCTAATACAGATATCCATGGCACACATAAATTACCTGTGAATTCTTAGTCCAGATGACTCGTGAGGGTTGGGGCACGGACGTTATCATGCACTCCACTTCTACAGTTTCTCCTTCGTTCCCAAACTGGTTCTTCTTCGCAGTAACAATAGGTGGTCCTGCCATGCGATCAAGATATGTTATTACCGTGTAGACAGAGGAAGATTAAGATGTTATTTGATCTAAAATTAAGTCTCAAACTTACTACATTAATACAAACAAATAAATCTGGTCCATTATTATAAGAACTAGCGTTCGGCAGTAAAAGGAAGTACCTCAATAATTAAATTTTCTTTGAATGTTACGTTGTATAGGATTGTATTTTCATTATTGTATAAAGTCACATAAGTTACAAATTCGCTTTCTTAAAGAAACATAACATGAGCATAAAATCGACAAGAAGAATTCCATAAAACAACTTTTAGTGAATAAATTAATCACACATGTTCTTGAAATTGTTAAGATAGTAAAAACAAACATATGCATAATGTAACTAAGTTATTTAAACTTTCTATGACTCATAAAAACAGTCCAGCTTTCGGATGTTGAATCATCATAACATGTGTGCTTTTTACAACAGAGTATCTTCTATGGCAAAAAATATAGTTTTCAAACAACCTGAAAAAAATTCGCAAACGCTTTATCCATAGTTGTTCGCGTCCCGACATTCAAGCTTCAGACTTTCCAAATATATATAACATAAATGCAGTTATAGAGAATCATTGACAAACTTACTGCTATAGAAATAGGGCGGCTTAAAATGCTTTTCAGTTCCAACAAAATTTTTCTATTGATAACACGAAAACGTTATTTACGTCGAAGCGAATGCTCTATATTTGCTTCCCTGGAGGTTAACTGATAATGCTAGGTTGGGATGTCGAATTTTCCCAATCATTTTCATGTCTACTTAAAATAAAAAAACCCAGAAGTTCTTATTTTGTTACAATATATATATATATCTATATATAGATGTATATATTTATTTATTTAACTATATTTTACAATATCAGTGTGTAGCGAATGTTCTCTCAATACTGATATAACATTAAAATATTTTTACCAGGGGTGCTCTCAGCTCATGTATAAACAAGTTTAATGTACTTTAACGTTTTAGAAATATTTCATTACAGTTATGTGCCAACATGTTGTAGTGAATATTCTGGGACACTTTATTCCAAAGACCTTGATGCGTCAATATAGTTTACAAACGCTCTAAATGTACACCTGTGAGGACGGACGTTTTATAGTGCTTCTCAAGAAAGCACTAAAAAAAAAAGAAAGAAGAGAGATATATAAAAAAGTTGGCAAGCAAAGTGCCCAGAAATAACTGTAGTCTCAACTTTCGTCTTGAAGCTGGTTGACTTAGTATGGTTAATACACTGGAGCAAAGAACTACTAAGTTCAAAGATTTCGCGCGTCCCCGAGAACGTGCAAACAAATCAAGTGCATAATCGTTTATTTATGTGTTTATCCTTCGTTTCGGTATTTCTAGCTGAACATAAAAGAGAGAACTTATTGGTATCATTTTTTTTCCAGCTCTATGTATATTCACTCAGTGTTTTTGTAATCGATTATCCATAATTAACATACATCACTTATATGTTATTGATGCTGTGATACCCTAAATCAGCGTTTCCCAAAGTGTGGGGCACCATTCTCAGAGGGCGCAAGTGATCTCTTGGGGGAGGGTGCGAGCGATTAGGGTAGAGTCAATAGTGCAATAATGAAGAAAAGAATTAAGCGTTGTGATATATATATATTTTTATTAATGAAAATAATACATAATTAATACAGAACATATAGCATTTCTCGCCACTTAACTCACTGTTTCACTCATATAAAAATAGAGGGGGCGCACAAGAAACCATATTCATTTAAAGGGGGAGCTTGGATGACAAAGGTTTTAGGAAACGTTGGTCTAAATGATAACTTAGACGTTTTATGTAAATTCTGAGAACGCATGAGTAAAAACGAAGGAGAATATGTTACAACATGTCAACCATACTACACCTGCCAGGGTTCATCAAACCGGTTGGGATACGACAGACATAGCAGTGATCTAGGTGCTATATATATATATATCATCAATTTTCACGAACAACTGTTAGGGTCTGCGAGTAGACTGTAATTATAATCAATTTTATTTTACGTCATTTACAAATCATATTTAAGTTAGAGTTATATCTTAGAAGATCAGAGCGGAACTGGAAATTATATTTGATTTAACTGTAAGAGATTCGTGCATTTCGCGTTCGATGTTTGGGAATTCAGTAAATCCAGACTCAAAAACGCGCCGCTCAGTTAATTTCTAATTCAAACTAAAGCTATAAACAAAGTAAGAGGGATAATGGTTGGGATTTTTAAGAGTGAGTAAATAAAATCTGTATGATCATTTTTTTAGATAATGAAACTCCAAAAATGATAAGACCTTTCTATTGGTGATTCCAAAAACGCAAGAAAAATCGCCTGGTGTGGTATCAAGTATAATCTGTATTATAAAGTGACCTGTGTTTTTATGCCTGTTGTTTCTACATGTTTAATCTAGTAGTGGGAAAACGGTAAGTTTGCAGACTTACAACGTTAAAATCCGGGGTTAGATTCCCCGCGGTAAACACAGCAGATAGCCCACTACGGTTTTACTCTAAAGCAAACTTCTACGGTTTTACTCTAAAGCAAACTTCTACTGTTTTACTCTAAAGCAAACTTCTACGGTTTTGCTCTAAAGCAAACTTCTACTTGTTTTCGTTTTTGTACGTGACGAAACTTTTCAAATTTCGTATCTCTGATCACCGTGAAACTTTCAAAGTATTTGGCATGCTATACAGAGAGTTTCTAAACTCCCTACTTTATTCATTTTCTCAATTTTACGAGTTTTACAGCAATTTTAATATTCTCTCTCTTAGTATTGCCAGAGTGTTGTCGAATGATGCACACGCACACCGTCCAGCCATCTCTGTGACGCTAATGAAATAAACTCCACGCCTGGCGCGGGTACCTTTGCTAGTATTTAATAGAGTCCTTCTCGTTGATGATTGAGTTACTTTAATGACTTCTCTCTACCAGAAATAAAATCACCTAATGATCTACTTATAATAATGACAGTTTCAAGTGTTAATTGGTTTAGAGGCCTTTAACTGTAATTTTATGTAGATGATCAATGCAATTGAACTGGGAAAGTGAATATCACATTCAAATGGGATTTTCGTATACAGAGAGGTTGAAGTTTCATGCACAATATTTCATCATTTTAGTAAACATTAAAATATCAATATCTAGTTTAAATTCACTGTTTTAATCGTCAAAAGCTTTGCAAACATTATTATTAATCAAAGTAATTGCAAAATTACTGTATAATTATCAACATTTAAAGGAGCCCGAATAACATTGGCGAATGAATACATCCATTTTACTAGAAGTAAAAATTCATTTAAGGTTCGACCTGTTGTTCGGATTCAGTTGGAATTATTAGCTCTCTGTATTATGTAACGATTACCTTTATGTTATATTTAAAACTACGATTAAAATCATATTTTCTATACATGTTGAAGCTAAATTATTCTTAACTTTTCCTTTGTATGTCATTTTCAACTGTTTTTACCTAGGTATCGCTTCCCTTAATTTTTCCATTATATATTTCATATAATCAATCAGATGGGACTCTCAGGTTCAAAGAGAAACTCTTGAACCATTGGAAACACCGAAGGGTGAATGAGCGACAATGAAACTATAAATTTCCGTTCACTATATATCTATATATAATGACGCTAATTACGTTGACCGATTATTTGTTTAGCTTAACCTGTGCTTTTATATGATTAAGCTGCTAATGAATTATTCGGTGAGAGAGGGTCATTGTATGATTTCGAATGAATGAATGTAGACCTAGTTTTTTTTCAGTTCTAATTCGGGCAAAGACACGTACAAAATATTTTGAAGGAGTGATTTAAACGGCTTTTAAAGACCGCGAAACATCAGCTGGACCTTGTCTTAAGTGGAACTGTTGTTGTGCCATTTGGTAGCTCTGCATTCCTAAGCAGATCGGAATCTTTAGAAAGGAGCACCCATTAAATTCCGACTTTCGACGCCAGGATGAGAAACACCGTGACAGACAGTGAATAAAAACCACATTACAACTGTATAAGAGTTGATGCTATTTTAGAACAATCCTGGCGTCTCTTTTTTCATGCCTTTTTTTCTTCAAACACAAAATGTCTTTCACATAAGCAAAAACAAATTATGTGCACTTGATGTCGCCATGATAATAGTGATTTAACAAGTTTTGATGAACTGATATAACAATTTTTAGTTAAAGCATTTATTTAAGTTCACTAAGTGAGTAAAAGTAAACTGTTATTTAAGTTTTTTAAACATGATTACAATGACATTTTTAATTATACTGGTCAAATACTATAAGTCACATATATAATCGTTATATGGATGAAATAACTGTTTGTGTATATCTGAAGGTGATTATTCTAAATTCTACTAGACTGCGTTTCAATTATTTTTAAACTCACTTAATGTAATATTACACTAAACAATGAAAGTAACTGTTTAGTGCAGTATATGATATATAAGTAAAAAACACTTAAATCATATTTAGATCAATCTGTAATTTGCACACAAGGAAAACAAGTTGTACTTTATTAAACACAATATAACATGTAATTTATCTATTTGTCTTATGGAAGATACAGTACGACATGCCACACAAGTATGACACTTATTTTCGGAGCAGTCTGATGTGAATAAGTGCACTTCAATATGTTTACTCGGTTATCAAGAAGCAGCTTTATTTAGATGCCATTACGGTCTTGGATCTCAAACGAGTATACGAGGGTATAGAAAATAGCTGTTACCATTTTGATAAAAGAACCTACACCATCACACATACCCCCCCCTTTTGTAAATCAAATATTATAATATTTTATCTTCATATGCATATTTCGTTAGATAGTAAAACACTTACATGACATTAATTATGTAGTGTGTATATGAAAAATGAGAATATAATGTTCACATTATATAGCCATTTCGTTTTTTGTTGAGACGTATAGGTAACCACACAAAAGGAGCTGGATCTACGACTTACCAAATTAATCTTTAGCGTCAAGCAAATGGAGCTAGAAACCAGTTCTTGCTCTTAAGCCTCTTAAAGTTTAATGAGTTCACTGTTTTTATAAATGTAAAGAAAACAGCCAAGATGTGGAGGAATTCCTACATAGATATGAGTGATATAGAAAATAATTATAGTTCACATCCTTGTGTTGGGTGGAATTTTATTCAAACAGCGTGCAAGTGAAAAAATACTTAAATCAATTTCACACTTTCGGAATTATAAGAAATATGTGCAGAAAGTTGTAGGCTAAAGAAATTTAATGATTTCACTCATAAAAAACCTTATTCTGATCTCTAAGTATTAATTACATTCATTTGTTAGGGTTTATGTGGTTTGAAGCACATATTTCATCTATATGATAACATCCTTTACATCTATTTCATATAACTCGAAAGGATATTTTAGGTTTAAACATTTATGTAACATATTTGGGTGGGATCATTTGAAATTTAAATAATTATCCTATTAATCTCTAAGACGCTTTTAGGTACAAGAATCTTTTGCATCAGTATGATATGAATATATTGGATTTAAACATTTATTTCATCTACATGTTTGAACTTTATTGCATCAAATATACTTTATTGTCTGTCTGGTATAGAGGAATAGAAAGTTATTTCAACAAATTGTTTATTATTGCAACCAAACCTCAATTATTTTTTATAAAGTCATTATTAGAGCGAATTCCACGTACTGTTTAGGTTTACGAAAAGAAGTCAACCAAGTTGGTTACGGTAGAACATAGAATATAAGAAAAGTTTCTAATTTACATAAACCACTGTCACTTAGCGGAATATAAACATCTTGAAGGCTGTACGTTGTGCCACTTCCGAGCAGCCGCAAAATATAATGCTTTTAGAAGCTTTCTAACGCGTTCCTTCTTGTTAGTTGTTTTGTCTTGTTTTTTCCAGTTAGCCCATCAAACTTCCATGTCATATTAGTTTCTTTTGGCAAATGTTCTTCCAATATTGTTTACTTAGTTCCCCAGTAAGTTAAGTTGCTGCTAACCAATGTTTCAACAGAATATATGTATTATTTCTATACTCATTATTTGATCTTACTCAAAAAATTAACAGGATTTCTACACGTTCAACCATATTTTATTAAAACGAGTTTTCGGATCCAGTAGAGGAACAGTCATTAGTTAATGCAGTATTAGATCCTACCTAAAGCTCGTTTTAATAAACATACTTGAATGTGTAAATATCCTTTTTATTTCTGCTTAGTGATTATATATAAGCTTTGAGTCTTAAGCAAAATGTACTATTTGATCCATTTAACCTAGAAATGAAGCCGTGGTTAATTCCTCATTAATCATAATTAAAAGATTTTAAATGTATTGTAGTTACTTTTGATCCATTTAACCTAGAAATGAAGCCGTGGTTAATTCCTCATTAATCATAATTAAAAGTTTTTAAATGTATTGTAGTTACTTTTGATCCATTTAACCTAGAAATGAAGCCGTGGTTAATTCCTCATTAATCATGATTAAAAGTTTTTAAATGTATTGTAGTTACTTTTGATCCATTTAACCTATTAACGAAGCCGTGGTTAATTCCTCATTAATCATAATTAAAAGTTTTTTAATGTATTGTATTTACGTTTGGATCGGAATCTTGATGTTTTTTAAACTTTGGGGTAACGGGTTGTGTATCTATTCTTCTATAATTTTAAGTACTTATGATAACGTTGTGGTTTGCGAATGTCGATTGTTATCATGGTTAGTAGCATATGCGATCACCTAAGTCTTATTATTAATGACTTACTATTTTTTTAATTTAAGTTTAGTAATTACTACCTACTAATTACTAACCAGTTTTTATTCTACGTTTCGGCAGGCAAAACATAGTTACTTACCATGACAACGATTTTATAATCCTTATGGAATTTATATCCTACAAATCATTGTGTACTGTGTAAGCCGATATTTATACCTCCTTAAGTAATAAATATCCATTTAGTGAGCTGTAACTTTTCAAACACGTGCTGCATTTATTATTAAATGTACGTTTTAAGTACTCCCTGTTATAGTGTAATTTCGTAACTTTTCTCTCATAAATAATTTCTATAACCCATATATGAATAGCAACATATAATGAAGCATCGTTCTTACATATATAATGGATACATGTTGACTACGCTTTGCTTTTCATTTGTCTACATCTAGGCAACAAAGGAAAAAGAGCAATCAGAGCTTGCATATCTTCGTCCCGCCGCTCCTTTTTGAGATTGCATGCGTATATATTGGATAACGTCAATTTTGACCTTCGAAAACTCAGAAAATCTTTCTCAGATCGAGAATGATCAATGATCCGGATTATTTTCTGTAGTGTGCCCATGAAATTTGGTACAAGTCCGATCACACTTTACAGAATTATTAATCCAAAACCGCGAAAATGCCCCATACTTTTTACTTTAAAGTGATCCAGAATCCGGATCCGGACTAAATTTGAAGAGGCCTGTCTTATACTGACTTCCCATCTTGTGGAAAAATTTTCGTGTAGATCTGTCAATCATTTTTTGAGATAGGCGCGAGGAAACACAGACAGACAGACAGACACACACACGGACCCTGCAATACTCTCGCCCGCAGAGATAATGAATGATCAGAGCTCTTGTGAACCAAAAGGCAAGCACTTCAAATTAGAACTTATTTAGTTAACTTTATAGAAATATTTTACAGGGGTCTATATTTTTTTCTCAAACATAAGCAAAGTTTAAGAGATTTAGAATTAGTAAAAGTATAAGGTGAAATAATGTTTTTTCTGCTGTTTGAAGTAGGTAAAATCTCAGTGTATCACACGTTTATAAGGCTTAATCTCTACCGACAACGCTTGATAGTGGAAATCTTGTTGGGAGACTCATTATATATTATAAAGTATTTTAACTTGTAACACAACAACAACAACAACAACAAATCCATATATGTGAACATAATATTATGCATTTGTATAAATGATACGTATGGATATTATGTTTTAAAGAAATGTGGCTGTTGAACTATAAATATCTTATTTTTATTTTTCAAGTATAAATTTAATTTCTTCTTTCGTTTCATATGCTAATTTTGTTTCGTTTATTCAGCTAGGTATAAAACATTTATTGAGATTAGATTATTGTTAACTACGATATAAGTTATACAGAACTTTGCATACCTTTCAAAAAGACCACGATTTTTTCAGTTATTTGGGGAAAGCCGCTCACTGTTGCTCTACAATGGTATTCTCCTGAAGTTTCTGGGGTTACGTTAGGTATCACAAGAACAGGTTCAGTCCCTAATATTGCCGAGGAATGCTCAGATGTCCAGATGATGTTTGCTTTTGGGTTACTGTCGACATCACATAACAGTGCCACTCTATCGCCTAAATCTGCTTCTACATTCTCTAAATTTCTGATAATCCTAGGTCCATCTAATCGTAGCAACATACATATATATATTTGGGGAAAAAAGGTTCAATATTAACGACACTCTTAAAATATTTTCCTTTTAATCTATTACGATTTAAGTAAATTAAAGTTACTTTTAAAAGACAAATATATCTCTTCAAAAAGACTTATTACGCAGATAACATAGACGATTATAGTTTCAATCTCTGATAAGAAAATGAATTCGCAACATTTAAGTTATGCATGCATCGCCCACAGAAACAAATATTCAGAGAAAAACATATAAAATGTATGCAATGCAACAAAGGCATTTAAAAGAAAAGAATGTTCAGTCATCCGTGAAATACAAAACCCAGTAGAACATTCTTTCAGGAGAAAATGTAGCTCGAGATATTATTGTTGTTATTCTCTTAATTTTAAACAATTGTACATTTATATTCAAAATTAATGCTTTCTAGAACAGATATAATTTCCAGGAAACTCACAAAAATATTTTGATTAACATAATACGGAAATTCTTTTCTTGAGTGTATAATGTAAGTAATGATTCAGCATAATTATCTGCTAACAATAATGGCAAATTATACATTATTTGAAGTCCAAATTCCTAATCTGTGTTTAGTGAAACCATTAATATGTGTTCCTGATATTATTATAAACACACAAGCATTTGATTTATTTATTTTTTTATGAATTACATTCTCCAAATATTGATGTAATATACGTATTTATGATATTGCCAATTATTTTTATTAAACATGCAGAAGAGTGAAGCAAATTTTACTAATGTTTAATTCACTTTAGTGTAAATTTCTAATTTTGTAATCGATTCAACACTTTTTTCTATCTTTGAAACCTTAGAAAATAAAGATTTTTTCTTGCTAATAAAGATGGATATTATTCAACTCCGTCAACATCACGCTTCTCTTAAATATAGTTCTAATAATAAAAACAGAGCTCCGAGTTATCATAGCTTTTAGGCTTAACGGCAGTTTTTGTTTTCCTTAATATTCGTATAATTTAATAAACCTAGTCTATTAATAATATCCCTTCAATTTATATGTAGGATCACTCTCGTGCGTTAATTATGCAATTTTTCCAATGCGACATTTACAAAAACTAACATTAATAAGTTATTATATCCCTTTTATGCTTAAACGTAATACAAAACGTCTCACCTGGGAATTAATATACAAGATCAAATTGCATTATGTTATAAAAGAATGCATTTGCCTTTAATGCCCGATTAATTTTCAGAATATGTTCTAATGAAAACCATGAATATCTGACATCATGAATGTTTAAGGAATAACAAGCAAAGAACACAGTTTTCATATAAAAAATGACCCAATTTTTCTTTTATTATATTAGGCACGCAAGTATATTTTGGATTTTATTAACCTAACAAATCACAGCGGGTTTTTGCGCAGAGATCTCATGTACATATGACAGTGTTTTATGTAAATTTATCACATTTTATATTACCCACCTATATATTCTGCCACTGAACCTGTCAGAATATATGCCATAAGTTATAAGAAGGTACGTACATTTTACTATCTGTTATTGAAACTGTCTCGTTCCCATTAGTGCTGTCACTACGAATTATAGGCTTGATAGAATACACGTTTTTTGAAGCTATTGCTCAAAATGTTAACTTTACCGAAAATCAGGTCTAATGTCTTGACCTTTTATTCAAAACAAATTCACACTCTCTCGTCATTACGGCCACAAATCAGGTGGTATCGTATTTCGTGACCCTAATCCGATCAGTCAACCAGTTACCATAAAGAGGATCAAATCGCGTCAATGGCTTTACTAGTGTCGGCAACAGTGTCTTTGGTTGTGCTAGTCAGGTGAGGCATAGACTAATGAGCTAATAATAAGTGAAACATAAAATTGTTGTAAAGAACACGAACTCTAATCACTAGTAAATACTATCCCAGTGCACATTGTTCGCTATATGGTAATTTGAATTTAGTGAATTACAAAATGAAATATCTATTTAATCATAAAGATGCAAATTCTGGGTAAGTTTGAAATGAACCAACGAACTATGCAGTAGCACTACTTACATAGAACGTTCATTGTGTGAGTTGCCTTCGTACTTCCCACAGCGTTGCTCACTTCGCAACTAATTGTGTCTCCATTGTTCTCCCTGGTTACCCGGTTCAGTATAAATACTGTTCTATGATCATCAAGAAGCTCCTCATCATTTCTGTTAGAGGAAATTGTTTGTCAGTCACATCAAAATACTCACATTACATTAAGTGTTATCATAATGACAAGTCAATTACTTCTGGTGTCTTCTCCAGGATAAATTTATTACAATGAGGTCGTTGTTTGTACGTGAAGGAGCATTCCACAAGTGGTAGACATTATTATTGCCAGTTTATCTATCTATTAGCAAATTCGGTTATCATAACTGTTTATATATATATATATATATATATATGATCTTGTGATTGGCCATATAAATTATAATACTCTTATTTAGAAATTCTTTGTGGATAAAACACCTCTAATTTTAGTGTTATTTACCTTTTGGTATAGAACTATAATCATTTGTTGATGACTTTCAAACTTGCGATGTCTGGAAGCCAAACTGAAATTGCGTTTGAGTTACATATGGAAAAACAACTGCTGCGTTACAGTATTAAAGGCTTACTTCCCATGATCTTAAAAATGAGTAGCATCTAAAAAATAGCTAAACAAATTAAAAATTGTATCTGGTATTGCGATTAAAAACGTTATAAATTCAAGTATATATATATAAAAATATATAGTTATAACAATAAAAACCCTATTCATTTGAAGAACATGAAAAATATTTTTGTTTAGACTTTTCTTATCTCTTAATACAAAAACACTTTGAGCTGAACCCATTTTCAAGGTCCAAACGTTAGCTGTAGGCTATCACGGTATTTTTTTACTTGACTACATTTAAAGATTATCTTAAATTCTCATCTTTTGCAACAAAAATACCCCCGGCTTCAGTTTTGAAAGACGAAGTAAAATATATATTCTCTTCCTATCAATCTTCAATGTGTACATTATATTTCAATGAGATTGTCATTTTTGTTCTTTATTTCAAGAACGCATAATAAAAGTAGCAATTTCAAAAAAGTCGAAGCATTTCCTCACCTGTACCATTTAAAGGAAACCCCAGGAGGATTAGCGTCGACTTCGCAAGTGAATCGAACATTGTTATTCTCCAATATCCTGGTGCTGTGAACTATAAGATCTATCTTCGGGGCATCTGTTAAAATAAACAGACATGTGAGCGAACAGGGAAATAGATTAAAAAAAAAGTACATTTTATTTTATTCCTTGTGGCTTTGTATATTTGTAACAAAATGTGACAACCCAGGTAACAATTCATTAGCCAACCAAAACATAAAAAAAAATCCATAATAATTTTTCGTTCACCTATTGACTTTTAACTTTTTTATTTAATGTGTTAAAGGTAGGATTGTCTATAGCTTTTTAATACGAGAAACTATATGAAAATCGAGATGTAAAATTACACCATTAATATTTATACTTATGATAGTGTAAACGAAATTGGACATCCTAAAACAAGAAAGTAAATGTGAGAGGATCGAATAAAGATATAATTAAACTTATAATTATTAAATTAATAATTCTTTTTTTTTTTTTTGGTTGATGAAATTCTATTTCAGTCATTAAACGCCGAACATACGAGCGAAAATTTAAAACAAAAATAGAATTGGGTATTGTTTTAAAGAATTAAAACTAAACTCACAAGAAAATCAAAACTGTATATACGCAAAGAAAGGGTAACTAAAGAAGAAGAATCTTAATTAATCTAATAAAACTAGCTGGAGTAAAAAGTAGAACCATACATTTTACGTCGATTTTAATGGTTGCTAGAGCAGGCTGTTTAAGCGCAGAGTTCTCAGATCGGCAGGTGAAACTCTTCATATGGTGTTCTCTCTTTGGAGTGAACTTCCAAGTCAAAATGGCGTTAGCTCTTTTTCCGTCAGTTAGCTGGTGCGTTTTGTAATATGTATTCACTTCGACCACTTCTCCTTTTTCATCAACCCAAGCAAGCTATGATACAGTATAAAATAATACGATATGTAAGGCACAGAATGCGAGCCAAGCATTTGTCTAATTAATGTAGACTGTCTGTCAGATGACTGTGAACAACTGTGGGTCCAAAATGTGTCGATAATACAATTCTTTTAAGCTATAAAAATATATTTCTATGAAAATGTTAATATAAAAGTTCGTTTTTATAATAGAAAATACCAGACTTATACAAGCCATACACGACAGGAACTGAAGTTTTATAAATCAGGCAGAATGCTACTAAATTTTGAAAAAGCTATTAGAAACGTGATTTTTAATGAATAAAAAAAAAGATTGACTAAAGAAACAAAATTTCTAGAAAATAGCAATACAATTACGTTTTTAACAAATAATCTCTATTTTAATCGCTAACGGCATTGTAATGAAGAGTTTGAAGAAAAGAAAGACAGAATGCTGGAATATTATATTTTCGTTTAACATCAAAAAGGTAGGTAGTCCTAACATAAATATGTAAATGTGGTATATGAAGTATGAAAAGAGAATGTTTGAAGTATATTTTCCCAGATATATTTTATTTATGTAATTAAACAATAATAGAGTCATTTAAAGAGCCAATGAAACTAAAACGAGTAAAACAAGGACCTTGTAGTCCTAAATATTATGAAAACGATTAAAATTAATTCCGATGAAGTTAGCAAACGTACATAAAAAAGAAAAGAAACCACTTAATGAAATTAAATAGCGGAATAATTTAGTAAGACTACTGTATATGCTACTTTATAATCATAACTGTGCACTATAATTCTATGACATACACGTATTAAAGAAATACGAAATTATGAAGCATTTATAATAAACTATGAATACGAGCTTAAAAACTTCACTTATCGGCATAGTAGTTAACACTGATACTAATAAACTTAAGATTTAACCATTAACTTTTAACAGATTACTAAATTTCGTTCGAAATATACTTATTAGTAAAAATTTCCATTAGAAAAGGATACATTCAAGAAATATTAAGTAATGAAAAAGCCAATGAAAGAAGAAAGGTGACCAAGCCAATCAGTTCCTCTTTAAATTTCTTTTAAAGGAAAGAGTATTTAGTTGTTTTCAATACTTATTAATTAAGAAACTTAATCTTTCATTCAACATTGGTAGATAAATGTATTTATGTAGAACACTTATAGACATATAAACTTTATGTTTGATTACTGTAACATTTAATTTTAAATGTTTAATGTTTTAGTTTATAAGTTGAAACATTAAATTAATAAAACAGTTCTAGTAGTGAAATTTTTTGGAAGAGATTTGGAAGTGTACTAAAGCTAGTCTAACCATATTTAGTTAAGTTATCCATTCAGTTGTTCGACATAAATTATAGCTAAATATTTAGTTTAGTTGATTATATGTATATTATGTTTATATATCACAAAAAGAAGCATTTGTAATTTCAGGATTAAGTTTTTTTTAACCTGATTATGTTATGAGAAATATAAAAAAAACTGTATGTTGTTTTGGTTAAGCTGAGCTCATTGCAAGTTACACTTACAGCATAGTTCTAATATATTAAAACTAATTGCAAATTTCAAGTAATTAAAAAGAATATTAGAAAAAGAAGCATAGTGTCAATGACTTTTGGGCATTATATTACGGGTTTAAAGGTTGTGTTACTATAAGGACAAGGAACATCATTAATATGTAACACTGAGTATAACACCTTGGAGAACAAAGGATCACGAATTATTAAATCTACTAATTAACGTCTCATGAGAACTTTTAAACACTGTTTTAACTAAGACTTTGGTATTGAATTCCTGCAGGCTTGATGAAAGTACTGAGTGAAATATCTTGTCCACAGTGGCTCAATTCAATGAAGGTATTCTGTTAATGTGTTGTTCTTAGTAGCTACTCGTATTGAATCAGTTAGGAATATAATGTGTATGTAGTGCGATTTTAAGCACGATGGACTTGACGCTTCACTCCCTTCAATGTTAACACAGAAAATTGCATGCTAAGCCCCATTACTAGGAAATCACCATATTTTACAGCTATATAAAACATCTTTCATATAAATTATCTTTACACACAACCAACGTTCTCATGCACGTGATATCCGTTTGCTGCGTGATGAAAAGTATACATTTAAAATGTCTAATAAGATGACTGCTTTTAAATCATAAAGCACACTTTCATCTGTGTATTAACGAAAAGCATGTTTGAGATTACGTGATCGTTTATATAAATCCCAGTCAATTTAATTAATAAATCAAATATTTTAGGTAATGACCCCTTAAAAAAATCCTAAAACCTAAAATAAATGTGTTTGAAAATACTGTGATTTATGTTTGTTTTTTAAAAAAATCTATGAGAATGAAAATAATTATTAAATTTTTGTCTTATTAGAATTTGTGTTTTTTAGTCAAATTGCCTATAAAATATAAATATTTTTTTTCTAATACTTAAATCAACAAAAACAATTGCATACCGCGTGCTAAAAGTAGCGGATGAATGAACTATTAAAAGCTATTATTTATTTCTATATTTATATTAATAGATTTGTGGTGCATAACCCTGTATGGTCGATTATAATTTATTAATGTCTCACTTTTCAATTAAATATTTATCACTGAATGGGAAAAACATTTTAATTTTTTCCCTTACTCAAAACGTCCCCCACTTGCACAGCGGAATGGCTGCGGACTTACAACGCTAGACTCCGGGTTTCGATACCCGTAGTGGACAGAGCACAGATAGCCTACTGTGTAGCTTTGGGCTTAACTGCAAACAACCAAACTCTCAGTCAGAAAAAACAATAATAAAAAATATCTGCTTATAGCTTTGTTCTATAAAAAATAAATATATATGAAGATAATAAATATTTCTTTTATGAAAGTAGCATTTTAACTCTTTCTTTTTGTTGCATACTACAATATATATATAGAAATAAATATATATGAGGATAAGAAATACTTGTTTTATGAAAGTAGCATTTTAACTCTTTCTTTTTGTTGCATACTACAATATATATATAGAAATAAATATATATGAGGATAAGAAATACTTGTTTTATGAAAGTAGCATTTTAACTCTTTCTTTTTTGTTTGCATACTACAATATATATATAAATAGATATATATTAGGATAAGAAATACTTGTTTTATGAAAGTAGCATTTTAACTCTTTTTGTTGCATACTACAATATATATATATATCAATAGAAGTTCTCAAAGGATATTGCAATACCAAGTTTTAATTATTCTGTATTTACCATATCAGATCTCAAAAATAGGTAAGCATACTCTAAGTAAAACATCTACGTTTTAGTCTAAAATTAGAAATTAAAGATGATTTATAAAAGAAACTTTCCTGTTGATGTGCATTTATATAATTTTCATAAACACGCACCCGTAACACTAACTATAGCAGGAAGAATATGTTTTTGGTTATTATAATATGTTTTTGATGAAAGCCATTTAGGTTTTACCATATGTTTAGGGAAATCGCCATCTATCGGTTGTATATATATATAAAATAAACAGGTTACTTTGCTGATTATTATGATCTAGCTAATTTCGTATTTTCTCACGATCAACATTTTGAATGCATAAGGTCACCTAGTTTACTTCAGTTGATAAGCCAATAGATAACCCAGTTTAGCAATCAAACCGATTCATCCTTAAACAATTTCCTCATTTTAATTATTGCTAATAATATTAGTCTTCTAAAACAATTCCTGCAAATGATTGTAGAACATTTTTTGAAAAGTCAATGTCGTTTAATCGTTAGTAGCTTAAATAATATTATACGCCACATTAAGTTTATATATCAAAAACAAATTTCTGTCGATTTATATCCTAATTATGTTACACAATTGCTTAATTAGTTAATTGATATTTGTTTTGTTTTTTTGAAAAAAATCGCTCAACATTTATTTTTTTGTAGAAGTTTACAATGAAAGTCTTTTTGCTTGTAATGAACGAAAAAGGCCTGCTAGGTCTTTTTGATGAGTATTATGTGGGCAGAGCCATGGTAAAATCTATACTTAGTTTATTTAAAGTCCTGGAAAATTAGAGCAGCGAAGAGAACAAACTGTGTTTGAGCTTTGTAACCCCGTTTACTCTCGAAACGGGCTGTGGTGATCTGAGAGGGCAAGGGTAATTATGTTTAGAAAATCCTAATGTTACGTGTCACTTTAAAAGCGTGGGAAATCATTAAGGTGTTTATAGGGGGGTTGAATTAAAAAATATATTTTGATAAACTACAGTTCAGTCCTTGGTCTTAGACTCTAGTCTGTCACCAGCAAGATAGTCTGAAACTTTTAGCTTCTTATGTTTTACACTTTTGACGAAAATAATAACCTTCTGGGTTTTGTTTGTGTTTGCTCTAACTGACGATGAAGTAATATTTTGGTAGTCTAAAAAATTACATTTTTTTCATGGATTTTAATAATTATCCTAAACATTCGATACTTCTAAGATTTGGTTAGTTTGTTTTTGATTAAATGAATGTTTGTATTACATTTAAACACAAAGCTACATAATGAGCTATTTTTGCTTTGCCCACCACTGGTATCGAAACCCGGTTTATAGCGCTGTAAGTCCGCAGACATACCGCTGTGCCACTGGAGGGCTGAAATGAATGAATTGCATAACAAAAATTAGTAATAAATTTGTATAACTCTGAGTGTACTACTCTTAGTTGGAACGGCTGTAATTTAAGGTAGAAACACATACGCCCCTTCGGTAATGACAGTAGATTACATTAATCGAAAATGAGTTGTGTTACATAAGAAAGAAATTCTTACGGCAAAAATGCTTTTCAAAAATATATAATGTAATATCTAAAATATAAAATGTGTAAAGCTTTACATTATACATATTACGTCTAAAACAACAACAACAAAAAACAAACAAACAAGGCAATTACAATTCGGGTAAGACTTTTACGTTATTATAAAGAGTAGCCTCTTAAGTTTCCATACAGAGAGTTTACTTGTTAATGAACGTTACTCATGTAAAAGTAGAAGACCATACTCTCTCTATTACTTTCAAAATGCGCTATAAGAAATACCTTCTTTACTCTCGGATCAAATTTTTTAAAGTTTTTGAAAGGAATTACTAAAAAGACACTACATATTATGCTAAAGGATATATCTAAAAATTAATCGGAATACTTTCGAGTAGACTTTGGAAATAACTCTTACTTTTAAAAGTATTGCGTAAGTAAGTCTTTTGAAAAATATGGAACAATTTCATTTGATAGCTTATACCAAAAATAGTAGTTTATATTTTTATATACACATTATGAGAAAAATGTAAATTGTTTGTACAAGACAATAGAAAATTGTTCGTTTACAACAACAAAAAAGCAGTGTTCTAAAATAATCCCAATTATTTCACGTCTTAAAATTATATATATAATATCACATTCTTGCTTTATTTGATATTTTCGTCTTTTTAAATTTTCTTTCTTGGTTGAATTAAGAAAAAAAAATCATAGTTATTTTGTCAGAAACATTATAAAACGTAATCGAATGTGTTACATTAGAAAAGATAACACTGTAGAAACCTATGGTCATCTTCGATGATAAAAAACTATTTTGTAAGTCATTTTAAATTATTAAGTTTTCCACGAAATTGTTGGTTTGAATAAGTTTCTCGAGCATGTGTTTAATCAGTTTATTGTACGACGAATACGTTCTGTAAATCAACAGTGATAAAGGTTAAAGAGGTATTGTATAGAAGTCCAACAACAGACTTAAAATAGCAAAATAATAAGTTAAATATCGACAGTTTAAAAGAAAGAAAAATTAAGAGCCATTTGGTTATTAGAGTAATGAGGAAGCGTTTGTTTGGTCTTTAGATTTTACTGCATTAGCATCATTAATTTAATTAATTGATCACGAAAAACACAAAGTACACAACTCAATCAATAAAGTAGGTGATGCCAATTTCTCCTTTTTTGTCAGACACTAATATTACGTAAATGTTTGTTTATATGTCTAATTTTAAAGATCAACCGACTTCGTGGTTACAAGGATTTACAACATATCTTTACATTACAATTAATTAGATTTATGAAAAGGACTAAATATAAAAACAAGCAAAAACAGAAAGTTCTTGAAGTAACTGAATATAAAGATACATCTTAATAAATAAAGAAGAGGCATAAATTATCTATAACGTTATGAATAAATACACACACACACAACTGTAGCAGTTAAATCGAATGTTTTTTTTACTACTATATGTATTAACGTTTTTTATACTACTATATGTATAACGTTTTTTTTTACTACTATATATATAACGTTTTTTTATACTACTATATGTATAACGTTTTTTAATACTACTGTATGTATAACGTTTTTTTATACTACTATATGTATAATGTTTTTTTATACTACTATATGTATAACGTTATGAAGCAGTACAAACGATATAATTCTCACCTCCGCTGGTGGGCGGCCTCCACGGGCTTCACACGTCAGCTCAACTGTCATACCACTAGTGGTACGAAGGTAATCCCCTTGAACAATGATAGGGGGTTCCGGAGGAACTGAAAAATGAAACTACAAGCTTTAACTAATGTAACCTAAGGTTTAGGTAATTAGCTCTCTTATAAGACTGCCTTGGATAGTATAAGGTAATCTATACTATACCTGACATACATTGTAAGAGTTCTCAATAAGATATGTATTCATATTTCACCAACCTATGCTTAGAAGCAATGGTATAACTTGTGAAAAGTTTTTCAAGTATTCATGCAAAACAAAACATATCGTGATTATTTATTAAATGTATATATGTTTAGTAAACGATTCTATCTGTTTAATTGTTAATAATTGGTCAAGAACGTGGTAATAAGAACGAATGTAATTCAGGCGTAAAAAGAGTTTCATTTTGAGCTACTTAGTATAATTTGTATAGAATTTCGTCAGAAAGAGACACTAGTTAGTAATTAATATTCTTTTACAAGCCCAATTTAGCTGTTTATGATTTTAGGTATTGGGATATCTCATTTGCATATTAACTAGAAAATGTTAATCTGTATACCATTTTATGTCAATAGCCACAAATAGTAACATTCTAAGATGAGCTATCACTAAGAATATATATATAGCTTTTATGCTCTCTTGAGGGTGAAAATTAAAAAAAGTAAAGCTTTTCTTACAAAGCGTACATTCTACCATTTGACAATCCATAAATCATGTTTTGATATCTATTGAAAGATAATTTCTTATTCTTATCTTGCCTTCTTTTTTATCATTTAACTAGGAGTAATATAAAATAAATTTGGTTTGGACGAAGATGGAACCGTATTTCTTGTTAATTGAACAAGTTGTTTTGGCTGAATTATATGCGAAACAAAGTACTTATAGAAACCGAGGTTATGACGATTTTCTAACACACCTTAATTACAGGAGATAGGTTAAACACACACACACACACACACACACATATATATATACACTAGCTATTATAAAAGTCACCGAAAGAGCAAACATATAAGTAAAGACAGGCTGGTAAAATTCTACACAAATAGCACTCATTAGGGATTAAACGCTATGAGAGAAAGAAAAAAACTCTATGAAAAGCCAAAATAAATTTAAAGTAGGAAACTCTTGAGCGAAAACATACCTCCAAAAAATATTTTACTGAAGCAACACGAAGGGAATCTCTGGAAAAGTAAGATGTCTCAAACAAACTTAAGGCAGTATCGGTTCTTTACATAAAAATTCTGACAACTTTGCAGCTGTCGGGATTAAATTTAGAATAACAGGTAACTTAGCTCTAGGCCACTTAGTTACCAACCTATTTGAAGCAGTCGACCAAATATATATCAACACAGAATATCTATGGAATACTTTTACAGTTTACATATAGAAGGAAATACTTGGTTTCCTTTTTTTTCTTCTGTCTTCGGTTGTGCCATAGCGATTACAGGATTTTTTTGCACGCAATCTCCTGTGAACGTTTTCTTTAGACCGTTTCATCAACCATCACTTACTTTTGAACAAACAAAATTAACAAAATTTGCCACACTACAGCAGCTATCTAAAACTTTGGAAATCTTTCTTAAAAACAACGACTAAACAAGATTCGAGGCTTAATTAGCTTGGTAGACAGCTTTGTAGAACATTTAGAGGTTGACTATAGCAGTCTAGCAAATTAAATATTAAAATATAGTTAGAAAAGCATCTAACGCTGCATTATTTGAATATGAAAAATAATACCTAAGAAAATTGTATCAGTTTGATTAAGATGGGTTTTTAGAGCTCATCTTTCTTTTTTTTAATATACCTGTAATGATGTTGCATTTTAGGTTTTGCTAATACCAAAATGCTTTTCACTCGCTTGATTGTATTTTGTAATTTCGCGCGTTGGGGAACTAACATTTTATGTAAATCTAACGTCAAAAGTACAGTCACAATGAAATAATAATTCTGATTTCCATGAAATAAACATTGTTCAACTGAATAAAGTTTCACTCTAAAGACAAAAAAGAAAAACACGCGTCTCTAAGGGTGTGTTGTGTTCTTTACTATTGTAGCTTTATTCCCGTTTTTAAGCAATTTAGCTGTGTATGAACAAATGTAACATCACATTTAAGAACACGTATTTTAAATTCCCTATGTTATATATTTTTAATTGATTTTCACATTGTCTAAAATTGAATTTTAATGGTAAATGTTTAATGTATGTCTGTAACGTTCACAAATATTAATTTCAATTGCATAAGTCTTGTCATTAAATAATCATTGAAATAAATAAATAGCAAAAAAATATCTCATAAAATATTCTGTTATCATAAAAATTATAACGATTAAAAAGTAGTAAAACAAAATAGTTTTTCATGCGACTCGTTCATAACTGTTTCGGTTGCTAAATGAAAAAAAAAAGGTTTTACAATGTTAATAACAATTATGTTACAAACCAAGGACAGTAAGAATAGCAGTCGTAGATCGAATTCCTGTAACCCCTTCTGCAGCTCCAACTTGGCACTGAAATTCTGCATCATCGACCAACTGAGCATTCACAATTTGCAGAGAATAGTCACCTGTCAAGGGGCCAAGATTTTTACTAATTTACAGTAGTCCCTATAGTAATTTACTACAAAACATTTAATTCATTTAGACACGTGCATATACAGGAATAGAAACATACATATTCATAAACATCATATGTATTTACATAAGCACTTATACCATATTACATCATTTCATAGCACCGATTTTTTTTTCTGACTGTTATACTTTCTTAAGCACAAACTGATATTACATTTTTTTTATTAACATGTTTATTTTTATTGAATGAGCTTTATTCGACTTACCTTCGTCGTCGTTTCCAGCCATAATATAGCGAGGAAAGCCAATTAGTTCTCGATCCGATCCCAGACCGAACCCATCTCTTGTCCATTGGAGCATTCCTATCTTGTTCTGGACACGACAAGGAAGCAAGATGTCTTCTCCTAAAATGACCATTTTGTCTTTGGGCTCCCGTAAAAATGTCTGTTGGACGGAGCCTGGTAGAAATAAGAAATTGGATGAAAAAAGTATATAGATTCATGTCAAACAGTAAACATGTTCTTGATTTATCAGTGTTTACACAAAACAGCATGAGATTAAAGATGGACTAGGCCTCGTCTAAACATAATTCCGTCCGTGCTTAAAGCAGCAAATTACCTGAATAACTTTCTTGTAGTACTTTTTGAAACTTAATATTTCTGATATTCTTTACTTGTAGGATATAAACGTTGGTGTAGTCTCGTTTTGCATGTGATCTCCAATCAAGTTTCTTTACTGGTAATATAATTAAAAGGGTATTCATAACAGAATACGCCTTTTCATAGCTTAGAAACGGAAAAGGTTATTGAGGTAATATCACAAACATATGATATATATTACTTTTCAGTTTTGCTACTGTGCAGAACCTATTGGCCCTCCTAGTTTATCTGTCCAATAACAAGCCGACAATAATTAGAATAGAAAGCTTATCCTTCGAAAAAATAAAATAAAAGGAAAACACTAAAACTTTATATGACCAACAAATACATCTCTCTTAATATAAAGTATCAGTTTGAATGTAATGTGGATTAATTTGCAGACTATTAGTTGGAAAGTGTGTTTGTTGGAGATGTCGTCATATATTGTTTTTCATTAGCTTTTATCATCGTCTATAAGTAGAGCGATTTTGTCTAGTAATTAAGTGAGATATTATGAAATACATATATTGGAATAAATAATCCATTTCATAAAATAAAATTTTATCTTATTTTGTAAATGTTCAAAACCTTGTTTTTTAAGTTATTGTTGTTAGTTTCATTAAGACTTCATTTAACTGCTTGCTCGATGATTCTCTCTTCATTGTCCCTGGGAATCACATGTGCGATTCATTTCCATCTAGCTTTCTTATAACCTTATCAATCCAATGTAATTATGTTACTTCTCTAATCTCTCATATGCTTCACACATAAACGATCTATAAATCTATCTCTAAGTATTATCATTAGAACTCTGTATTCCAATTTCACATATCTGTCACACACATTTTCATTACTGCACCAACTTTCAAATTCATACAGAAGAAGTGATCTAAATAGTGTAATATATAGATCAACCTTGGTGTTGATAAGTAATATGATACTTTCATACTCATGAAAACATGCCCATGACCTTATTTAACTTCCTTATTTTTTTTATTGAGTTCTGTTTCAAAGACCAATTTCTTGTAACAGTTGTGCCAAGATATTACAAGAGGTCTACTATATTGAACACTTTGCTGTATGACGTCCCTCAGTACAAATATTTGGTCTTTACATCCACATTTGCATCTGAAACATGCCTCTTCACCCTAAAATTTGTTAACTAGTTCTTTTTCTATCCTATTTAGAAGGCAAGACTTAAAACTTTAACAACATTAGATGAAAGGATGATTCCTCTCCAGTTTCCATATTCCAGTAAATTCCCTTTTTTTTAGTATCTTTATAACAATTCCATGTTTTAATCAGGCATCATCCCAATCTTCCATATCTTATCAAACGATGTCATCAACATTCTTGGTTTATAGTTATTATCTGCTTTAAGCATTTCACCTGCAACCTCATCAGTTCCAGGCATCTTCCATTTTTTCAGCTTTCCAGTTGCCTTTTCTATTTATTGAATGCCAAGGGTTGTACATTTCCATTGTCCTCATTTACCCAATCCATAACCTCTTTGAAGTGCTTTTTCCATCTCAACATAATTCCCATCTCATCTGTTATTTTTATTCCATTACGATCTTTAACTGGTAAATTAGGCTTTGCTCTTCCATTCTCAATGATCTCTTGAACAAATTGTGAAGATTCCCTTGTCTTAATACTATTTCCTCTAGTGATTTTCTGATCGACTTCACCAGCGAAGTTTTCATAATATTGTCGCTTACCCCCTTCTTGCTACTCTTTTAACTTCTTTATGTAAAGTCCAATACTTGACCCACTCACATCTTAATAGAAGAGAGTCTTATCTATTCTCTCCACATACTGTTTTTGAATCTTCCTCTGTTCTATAACTGCCAACATTTCGCTGATATCCAGGCTTTTCTTTTTTACTTTACTGAATATATAATGATCATTTCTCCAGCTTTATATATGTTTTACACATTTCATGTCATAGTATTTGAGTTACAACTGTGCTGTCTACATTATCATCATCATAATTCATAGTTTCTAATACTACACACCTATTTCGACACTCCAGTTTACTAATATTAAATCTTACAACTCCTTCATTTTCCTCTTATTTTAAGTTTAAGTTGAAGAACAGCTCACATAAGTTGGTGATCACTACCAATATCTGCTCCACGACAGTTTCTCACTTTCTCACATTCAACAGAATATTTCCTCGCTCACCAAAGACAGCTAAATGATCAATTTGATCAAATCATCTAGTGATTCCCAACTATACTTATGTATATCTTTATGCTCAAATATACTTTCACCAATGGCTAGAATATCTTGTACACAAAAACTGATAAAATGGTTGCCATTATCATTTACTTCACCCATTCCTTGTACACACCCACAATTTTTTCAACTTCTTGGGATCATTTTTTTTTCTTTTTGCTTCATTGGGGAAGTGAAGCAAAGATATAACCAATCCTTTCCCAAGACCATCTAGGGAGAATATTGCTCTAATCCGTTTAGAGATGGCCCTGTTATCGCTGAACATAGCAGATATAGAGGAGTAAATTTCTAAAAACAATCTCGATCCTCTTGAGTGAGGGCTAGCATGTAATAGTGTCGATATTGCTGTTGTAAAAAAAAGCTAATGCTAAAGATTCCTCCATGCCAAGAAATATTATGTAGCTTACCATTTGATATAATATAATTTAACAAATATTCGATGTTTCTAGACAGCACATGTTGGATTCCAAAGTAATAGGATATACATAATTTCATGTCGGATTCAGATGTATTTAAACAATTAATGTTGTAAAAGCCATTACATGAAAGTTGTTGAAATTATGATGTTTTAGACTGCATCGGAATATTTCGTAGACACAACTGAACTATTTAATGAATATATTCATTCACAAAATTCTGGAATTTCAGAAAGCAAAAATGATCGACGCCCGACAATGGCATGCATTTTGATAAGAAACAACACAAATGCGTAAGTTAAATTTGAATGATAAGATAACGCTGCTTTTCAAAATATTCCAATATTTGTCACCAGTACCACTTTTCTTTCGCAAGAACTTTCGCAAAACAGTTGGAATGGTAAAATTGGAACACGACTGTCTTTACTTATAACTAAAGTTCAATAATGGGCAGACATTTGATATTTATTGAAAGTCCTTAATAATATTAAGATAATGAAAAGATTGTAAGCATTTGAAGTTTTACTATTTTTCAGTCATAGATAGCACTAAGGGATTATTCGTACATAGCTAACATAAAAGTAGTATTACTGAGAAAAAAATCAGGATTAATAATTACTTACAGAGCACAAGTTAGTCACTACATATGTTTGATAAAACAGAAAAGAGGCGATTAATTTTAAACTCATGCTAAGATGAAACGTGTGTGTTGAATGTTTTCTGGCGTTCTCATGCAAAAGAGCTAGATTATTTTTTTTCTTCTTTTCGGTGGTGTGATGAAAACCAGTGGGTAGAAAAATGACGTATTTGACAAACATATAGCAGTCTGCAAAGTGAGCTTTTTGATCATGATAACGAACGGATGAACATAGTGAGTAAATGTATATTGACAGATGATTTATTCCTAAGCTTAATGCCCTTTCACACGATCAGATAGCTAAAACATCGTGTAGACTGTACGCTTTCCTGTCTCATGAGATGGTAGATTTAACACGAATTACACAGAATATCTTGTTTACAGCAATATGACGGCGTTAATAACAGCAAGAAAAGAGTTTAAACACTTTTGGCCAAGAAAATTATCTGAAAGAAAATGAAGAAAACAAGACCTGAAAGATTAATCCGACCAATACATTTTTTATTCTATAAAACTTTGAAATGCGATACAGTTTATGTGTGCATACTGGCCATTTCTGTGAAGTTGCGATCCTAAAATGATTAGTATCTTGCTTTCAAGCCAGAATAGCCCTTGTTTGAGTCTGTTATTAATGTTACTATATTAAAAATACTCCTATGTATATGGATATTAATTTGAAAGTTAGAAAATATGTGTGGATTATTTCATTTTATTCTTTACTATAATAAGTAGGAGCACCGTTTCAAGATTCAAGAGCTTTTAAGGTAAACCAAATACTTTAAACATAAATCAAACATACAAAGTTCAGATGAACTAGCTTATTCTGGATGTTTATGATGTTAATGTTAATATTTTGACATAATTTAATTATTTGGAACTATGTAAAACTTTGTGCTTTCAATTAAAAGTCAATCTACCTGCGGTACGTTTATTAATATGACGCTGCACATATTACAATACCTTACAATATGTAAAGGTATCCGTGACATTCAAACAAATTCTGAATTGGCTAAAACTTATTTATTAAAGTATTAAATTATGCGAAAGAAAACAAACATAAATTTCTCCAAGAAATTTTGATAATAATGTACATAATACATTGAACCAAGTGGGTTTTTGTTGTTTTCTTAGTGCAAAGTTACATAATCGGCTACATGCAATCTGTCCACCGTGGAGAATCGAACCCCGGATTTTAGCGTTGTAAGTCCGTAAATTTATCGCAGGTCCACCGGGGTAAAAAGCAAGTGTGAATAGATTAAGTGATATAAACAAACACACGAATGAACACAACAAAAACCTAATATTTCATTACATTGTTTGATACGTATAAATATATATATACTTATCTCAAGTAAATTGATAAAACACGAAATCATTCGTCTACTGAGGAGAATACATACACGTTTGTGTTTGAACCTGCTTTAAAGATAATTTCCATCCACTACTGAAACGTCTTCTTTAAAAAACTTTGTGAATGGGCGTGGCCTAGAGATTAGAATGCTAGGACTGTGAGTCCGATGGTTCATAAT